TTGAAATGGTAATTAGTCACTGTCCCCCTCTTTTGTCGAATTATTCTCTCCTATTTTCAGCAACTATAGACGGGCGCGAAAAAGTAACAAGCCATTTCTGAATGATGATTAACATTTTCTATAGGGTGAAGAGTTAGTTAGGGAATATCGCAATTGATTATTCATTTTAATCGTAAGATGACAAGATTAAACAAAATTAATTATTTAAGGAATTTCGCGATGTTAATATACGTCTTGTTGGAATTTTTAAATTTAATTTTTTTATGAGTTTACGTGTATATAAAATAATTTATTAAATATAATTGGTGTAAATTAATAATTATATAAATTTATAAATATAAAATTAATAATAAATAAATAAATAAAATAAATCTATATAATTAATATATCTCATTAATATAATTTATGTGTAAATTAATTATTATAAATAAATAAAATTAAACAAATATAAATATAAATCAATCAATCAATGAAAATAAATCTATTAAGTATCAATATGTATATAAATCGATAGAAATAAATCAATCAATTAAATATAAATATAAATCATAGGGAAATATCTGTCTCACGCTGCGCACATGACGCAACCCTTTAGAGCCAGCATCGTTTTTGTTACCCCTTTCTTTGGCCTCCGGGGGCAAAATCGAGACGCAGCATCTCCCTAAAGGTGATTCACAGTATTCACACACTTTGTGCACGCATATGCGCACGTGTTTCTATTCATTCGATTCTGTTCCCGCATATATACGCAATAAAAATATATATATTGTAAATTAAAATATATAAAAAATACAAATATATACAAACCCCCCGAAATGTACGTCCCTATTTGGCGAGCAAAATCAATGAAAAAAAAAAAAAAAAAAACTTTCGACTTAAGATTTAAAGGGGATTCGAGCTCTTTTCTCGGTAAATAATTCTACTCCGAAATTTAAAGCGACGCGAGTCCCTGAAGTTTAACGCAGAATAGATTCCCGACGACGGCCAAGAGGTAACTTTACAGAAAGGGGAGAGATTCGCGTCGAGAGAGAGGCAGAAGGGCCGGGACGAGAAGACAGAAGATGAAGGGGAGGAGGGAGATTTTAGCCCCAGGCGTCTCCGTCGTACGGTTCTGGCTTTTGGGCTGCTGGAACGGAACGTCCGCCATCGCGAAACGACGCTGGGTCACGCGCGACTCGAATAGAGATGCGAACAAACGATCGAGTACACGTGTGTTCGACCCTGTGCAGCCGACGACCTAACCCGCTGCTGCTGCTCGATCGCAAAACGCGGTTCTTCTAGCCCTACTATAGCGCGGACGTATCCTAGGAATTTTCTCGCGAGCAAGCGGAACCAGAATTTCAAGGCTCCCTCTCGCCGAGTTTCTCGCCTCGTTTCTCTAATATCGATTTTTCATATATATATATATATATAATTTATATAGTTTTCGAGGTATAAATAAATCATGGATTCAAATAAATTCTATTTTATATATACTATTATATATAGTATTATATATAGTAATCATATAGTAATTTTATGTAGTATCATATATAGTATTATATATAGTAATTATAAATAGTAATTGTATATAGTATCATATATAATATTATATGTAGTAATTATAAATAGTAATTTTATATAGTATCATATATAGTATTATATATAGTAATTTTATATAGTATCATATATAGTATGATATATAATAGTATATAGTAATTATATATAATATATAATTACTATATAATATACTAAACATAATACTATATAAAATTAGTATTTATAATTACTTTATCTAATACTATATAAACTTACTATATATATATATATATATTATATATGATAATATATATGATCTCATATACTATAAACGATACTATATATATATATATATATATATATATATATATAATACTATACGTATATCATACTACATATAGTACTACCATATGACAGTTTATAAATTAGAAATCGATAAAAATAAGCTTTATTTAATGTTGTAATTTTGCATAGAGAAGAAAAATCAATATTTTAATCAAATAAATTAATTACCCTCTCTATTATTTCTAAGTCAGGGAAAGAAAAGAACGACGCACACCTGCCTTAACGAAGGACGCCGCGCAAACCCTTGACCCCGAGTCGCGATTATAGCGGAAATGTATACGATGCGGAGTAATGTCCGATATATCATTTGCGCGGATCTTCCGGATAAATCGCGGGCTATTTTTAGCGCCGCGCCAACAATTAGGAGTAGTTTAACGAAGCCGACCCAATTTACAACTTCGCGCGCAGCGAACTGCGTGCGCGCGAGGAATGTGGCGGACAAAAAAAAAGGAGAAATCGCGTATCTTCAAGAACGTTGAATAAAATGAATAAATGTAAAATTACATCATATAAATGCAGAACATTAACGTGTCAAAATACTGTAAAAATTCTGTTACTGAATTTATACATTTATTGTATATATTATATATATTTTATATAAGATTATATATATTATTTATTATTTATTTATTATTTAAGGAAAGGATTTATATATTGTATATTATATTATATTATCATATATATATATATATATATATATATATATACATGTATATAGTATATATATATGAATATATGAATATTTTAATGATGCAAATTGTTCTCAAAATATAAATTCTTATTTATATATATATATATATATATATATATAAATATTTATATATATATATATATATATATAAAATAAAATATATTACAATTTAATATAAATATATTATATATTATATATATAAACATATAAATATAAATATATATAATATTATTAAAAATTCGCTATATATTTTCCTAACAATCGACGTTATAAAATTTATAAGCAAAATTGATATGATTTATATTGTATTATAGATTATTTTCCCCAATTTTAGAAATTTAGAGCAATCTTCGATTTACCTTTGTAATCAAATATGCTGTGCCATCGAATCGTCGGGGCTTCGATCGTAAACAATCATGTAATATGCATACATATATGGAATGCACGAGATGGCCCTGTTTCCATGATGTATTCCGTCGTGAATCGCAAATATTCGATAAGATCGAATCTCTATTCGGCGAGAATTCGTAAATGAATTTCATCACCGAGATTGTTTACATGAAGAATCTGCATCCGACGAGAGAGAGAGAGAGAAGAGAGAGAGAGAGGAGAGAGAGAGAGAGAGCGAGAGAGAGAGGAAAGAGAGAGAGAGCGAGCATTGTTACATATACAATGACAGTTCCTCAAATTCTATTTCTGGTTCCACGAGAGAGAAAGACGTGCATATTTGGCCTATTATCGTCCTCCATGCTTCCTCCCCTCCCTCATAGCGTCATCGCCATAATAGCACTGCCGCTCGGCACGTAGACACTTTGCTTGCGCGAGCGCGACGCGAGCGACATCTAGCGGCGGAAAATTAGTAATACCTGCAGCTCCCAGTCGGTAAAGTCGCATACTTGCGTATCGACATCTCGATCGATAAACATGATGGATTTGTTTTATATATTTTTATTTATAGAGAAAAGATTTATATATAGTATATTTCATAATTAATGATAGATCCATAATTAAATCCTGAGAATTTTAAAAATAAAAATTAATTATGAGCTTATCACACTTCTCTCTTACATATATTATTATATAGTATATGTATATGAAAATATTGATATTGGAAATCTAGTATATATTCATTATAATAAATTGATATTAAAAGATTGTTTATATAATAATATATGTATATAATGTATATACTAATATATATAATATATTTGATCGCATATATATTATATGATAATATAATATTATATTATATATATATATTATAGTATAGATCATATATCATATTATATTATATAATATATATATTATAATATATAATATAATATATATTATATGATAATATATATAATAATATAATATATATAATAAGATGTATAAAAATATATAATGTAAGATTTTTCTTTGCATAATTACATCATATAATCATGCGATAATAATAAATCATTCAAAATTATATTAGAGATATACAGCAAATATTATTTAAATTACACGCCTAAGAGAAAATAAATTCTCTTTTATAAAATAATTTTCTTTATATTCTTTGTGCAATAAAAAAAAGTGTTATTAACCGATAATAAAAATAATTTGAGCAAATCAAAATTGTCGTGGAATGTCGAATCGCTAATCTCAGATTTTTGCATCTTATCGATGTCGCGTGCGATGCGAAATTAAAAATAAATACAAGATGCACCGAGAGAAACGGCGAACTCCACGTGTGTGTATGCGTGTACATACATATACATATCGCGCAAGGGCCGACGGCCCCTTCTCAAGGCGAGCAACTCTCTCGCGAGAGAGATTACAGCATTTTTCCGTCGACGCCATATTTGCCGTTCATCGGTCGGGCCCTTTAGCCCTTGCTGTCCTAGGACCCAGACTGCAGATGCAACCGCATCTCTATTGCGCTTAGAATTACGCGCGAAAAATAAAACCGAATGTCGCTTTTTTTTTATCGTTTATTCTCTCATATTTCTGTTCTTAATAACAAAACGAGTATACAGAGTTGTTCTGCAATCTTAATTTTAAAAAAATGTCAAATATAAATACAAAGTCAATTTGTTATCATTGTAAACGTGTCTAAAGAGACATAATGGTTTCTGATATACAATTAAAAAAGGAAAATTTTTCGCACAAAATAAATGACGAGAACATTTCCTTCGTTGATTTTGAACAATTTATTTGATTAATATTCTATATCTCTAACTAAAATATTTCTAAATAATAGACTTTAGTACTTTGTATAATATAATTTTAATATTTGGCTATTAATAGAAAGTATTTAATAAGAAAAAATATTTAATAAAAATAAATATTAATTTTATCAAAATTAAAATATTAAAATAATTTTCCATCAAATTAATTTATTAATAAATTTAATTTTGTTAAATATCTCTCTCATCAAAATTGAAATTATGAGATTTCTTTATATTCTGTATACTCGTGTACTGATTATTGCTAAACTCCATAACATAATTGTAATCAGAACTAGAATCAACTTGATTTAACGAGCGACGTTCGTTTTACAACGTTCGCATGCAATTAGCAGAGAAATTTTATTTGCCACTCACCCACTGGAAGGCATTGAAGTGGAAGTAGACGAGACCCAAACCGTACAAAAACGAAGCGTCCTCCAGTAGTCGCCTTTTAACGAGTAGAATTTCTGATACGCTGACATTGCTATAACATAAAAATCAAATTTAAATTAAATTTAAATTATACATTTTTTGCTTAATATTAAGATCAATATATAAAAGAGAAATTTTTAACTGAAGGTTCAAAAAGAAACAAATAACATTTTTATTAATAGGAGTTTGATTTCCGAATCAAGAAACTTTCCTGTCTTACTGGATTTTCGTGATTAAATCAAGCTAATGATTTTACATAAACGATTTACGCAACTTAATGTCTTACAATGCCTACATAGAATACTTTAATGCTTAAAAAGAATGAAAAGATAGTCTCGTACATTCAACAATAATGTCGTTACTTTTCTAACTTTCTAAAACAAATCAAATAATTAACTTAAAAATTAATCTGAATTTTTAACAGATACAGGGTACAATTGACAAATATCACAAAGCTCCTGTACCTTGGTGTAATCTTCTAAGAGCAGATGAAAGTGTCCCAGCTTGCAGTATGTTTTAGGATCGATGCTAATCCCTTTATCCTCGTCCTCATTTTCCTTGGAATCATCTGGACTAGCTTTTGTGCTATCCGCTTTCCTGCGTTGCTTCTCCGCCTGAGCCTGAACCAGCATACGTTCCAAGTATTTTATGGCACGAACAACCACAGCCTTCTTTTTTGCCTGCTCCGGAGAGTTCAGTTTCAGGAAACCGAACTGTCGACTGTGCATATGGAAAGGAAGAATTGCGTTATCACATTTTTCAATTGATGTTTCATTACATGTCATATATGAAATTTGTGAAATATAGATTTGTTCAATGAACTAAGTTAGTCATATATTTAATATCTGTTTAATATAATATAATATAATGTTTAATACAATATAATGATTTAAATTATGTTTTCCAATGATTCTAATGATCTTGCAAAAATCATGTATAGAAATATAAAATTTTTTTTTTTTTTAAGATTTCGCAAGCAATCGAGGTGCAAAAAATCTCGTCCTCTTCGCGAAAATTTCGCGGGGAAATGTGGTACAGTCGGAAGCGCGAAAAAGGGTGTCAGTAGGTTGCGCACGCGAGCGCGCTGTCAAACGGCGCGCATTTCTAGGTTATGCGATGTGTATCGCGACGCGTGTACGTGTGTGCACGTTGAAAACGCGACGAAACGCAAAAATCCGCCGCGGAAAATTCCGGCCGGACGAGAATCTCGCAAAGTACGCGAAAAATAGAGAGGAAAAAACAAAAAGTTATATATATATATACATATATATATGTGTAACGTGTATATATATATATATATGTATGTATGTATATATATATATATATATATACATATATATATAATATATATATATGTATACCTGTCCAGCTCCGACAGCGTCTGCAACTCCTGCGGCGTGAGGTTGATGTCGTCGGTGACGTCCTGGGCCATTTTCCGCGCTCGCGTGAAGGGCGACGACGATTCACAGCATTATTTTCGCGGAAAGCCCGGAGAAAATATTCGACACCTCCGTCGCGCGGAGCGATAATTTTGCGCGCGGCGCCGTCACCTCGTCATCGTCGCGGGGGTGTCAGAGTATCGGCGGAGCCAGCGGGGCAGCAGGCGGCGGCGACGGCGACGACGTCGACGACGACGATGGTAAGAGCGCGAACTGACGCGCAGGCCGCGAACGCACGCACGAATTCTACCGCACACACGACGCACGACGCGAGTCGACCGTCACCGCGAACGTTCAGCGTCCGAATGCGCCCGAGCGCGGCCGAACGCGAAGCGCGAGCGCTCGGGACGCGCATGCGCGCGGGAAAGGGACGACGCGCATGCGCTCTACAACGCCGGCCGTAGTCTTTCAAGGACTTGACCACTGTTAGTTTTATGTTTTATTTTTATATATTACATTAATATATTATATATAATATATTATATATTAATATATTATATTAATATATAATATATTACATTATAATATATTAATATATATTAATTATTATATTATATATATATATATCACGAATCAAAATTGTAAACGAATAATTTTTAAGATTATTCATATCGATATATATATATATACGCTTTTTTCTCCACAAAAAATAATATATTTAAAAATTAGATTTGCATATAATAATTAAAATTTTTCCTTGAATCCGAATTTTCAATTTTTTAATTAGTATATATATTCACGCTAATTAATGTTCTTTCGCGAACCGGTGAGAAGCGCGTGAACGTTGAACGTGAACAATACAAAAATGCAATAGATGGCAGATGTGTTCTAGATTGTGTTCAAAAATTATCATCTAAGGTGAAGCAATCGACCAATCAGGACGAAGAGATCCTCGGGTTCCGATTGGTAGATCGAATTTTGCACTTTAACAGATGGAATTTTGAACGCAACCTAAGGTTCTTTTGATTTAACAATGTGGCGCCATTTATGAATCGCTCTTGTGTTATTATTATTGTATATTATTTTATTCTTTTACATTATTTTATATTATTTTCATTTTAATTTTCTGTCGAAAAACTAAAACGTATTTTAACGTTGTTATTATATTAATAATATAATATTAATATATTATATATATAATATTATATTAATATGTATAATATATTAATATAACATTATAATATATAAATAATATAATATATAAATACCTAATATTAAATAAATAATATATAATATTTATATAATAATATATATAATATATATAATATTATAGTATTTATAATATATTATAATAATATAATATATATTCAGGCTTTCCACAGCAAATAATAATTAAAATAATATAAGATATAATTAATAATTAAATATATATGTCTTATTAATAATTAAATTATTTATTACTTAATAATTAAATAAAGAACCTTGAGTCAGAATGTTCAAAACAAATATTTTTTATATTATATTATTCTTATTTCATCAAAAAAATTAAAAAATAAAATCAAACATACATATACTAATTACAGTTTACAAGGACAATTTATATTTATACATTTTAGATTAAAATCACGTGAAGGAGGGAGCGAGAAAAGCCAAAAAGTGCAGAAGGTGCAGAAGGCGCACGGAAACGAGCAGCCGTTCTGCTCTCGAAATTATCACAAAAGACTTTACATTCGATCTGACAGCCGCGTCTAGCTGGCTCCGAGAATTTTTTGGTCAAAAAGGTGAGTCTCGTCGAGTCTCGTCTTAACCAGGACATTCATTAAAAATCATATCTAATATCTATAATATCCTTGTTCACACATACATATAAAGGGTGCTCGATAAAAAAAACATGCCGATCAAGAACGTCTTTCGTTCGGGAATGAAAAAACTGAAACGGTACCGATCGTCCTTTGTTTCTTCTCCTTTTCGGTTAACTTTTTCGTCGTAATTTTCTCATCTGTCAAAATTTTCAACATCGACGGTTTTTTCTCTCCTCGCGGAAAATTATAAAAAATTTTTGAAAAATTATTACCAAAAAAGTATTACTGTCGCGAAATGTCGTCATCAATATATTTGCGTTTGCGGCGCAGATTCGTGTTTCGAATAATAACACAATAACGGAACTGTTGTATTTTCATCCCTTTGTATGACAGTTATTGGTGGAATAATTTTTTGCCTCGGGGAATTTTTTCATTTTTTTACTCTATTCACGGATTTGTGGAATTTTGTTTATTAATATCGTATTTAATATTAATTTTTTTTTTATTATAAATGCATTTTATTAAAATCCATTTTTTCGCTGGTTTATGTGTCAAACTTCTTTCAAAATGCATACTACAAATTATTTTTCTGCGCAACATATCATAAAATTATGGAGTAACAAATCGTGTCTTCATACACATCCAGTTTCTCTATTGTAATTATAATTATTTTTCTTTAGCACCAAAATGACTACTCCTGCGGCCAAAAAAAGTAAAGAAGATGCGAACAAGGAAGTCTACAGTATAGATGCTTCAAAGGAAGCAAAATCCATCTTAGAGAAGATTTTGGGGGATGTTAGCAAGTCATCTGCTACTAAACAGATCATCATCGGTAGCACATCTGGCTGGTGATGCATATTTTACATAATTATTATACAATTATTTATTCTCGATTGTTCAAAAGTGTTTATTTAAAGGTGCAAGATAATTTTTTAATATTAATAAATATAATTTCTTTTCAATATTTAATTTTAAATATTAATGTTGAATACTAATAAATATTTGATTAATTAGGGTAACTGGATTTATAACGATGAAGGTGGGAAAGGTAGCAGCCTGTGCAGTCGGTGGTGGAATTATTATGCTGCAAATTGCTGCGCATCAGGGTTACATTAAGGTTAATTGGGATAAAATTACAAGAAAGGCTGAAAAAATAACGGATAAAGTGGAAGAAAAGATAACTGGCGAGGGACCAAAATTCATGGATAAGGTAAATCAATTTTCCTGTTGGAGTCTCTTTTTAGAAAAAAAAAATTTATAACTCTTAGGAAAATTGTGTAAAAAACAGCATGATTATTTCAATTGATAGCAATTACCTTAAATGTAATTTTGTTTTTAAACATTGATAAGATTTCTTGCATCAATTTACAAGTTCCAAGAAACACTTTGAATATGTTTTTACAAGTAATGATTTTGCTGTTTTGTAGGTAGGAAAACTGTGGAGGAACAACTCGTTCATTGCAACAAGTTTTCTTGGTGGTTTCATTATTGGTCTGTCTTGGTGAAGTAACAGTAACTTTGAAGTTTTGTGCAAAAATGTAAACAGACATTTAGTATGTTTGCCATTATCTACATTTAATGTGCTTTACAGTATAATGCTATTTACTGTAACAATAATACAAACAATGTCAAGATACCATTAAAACTTGTGAATATTTATATATCATTGCCAATGAAAATCGATAGTAATATCAATTTTGTCAACGAGACAATTATATAATAATATCGATAATATTATTATAATTTTTGTATAGTTGTCAAATAAAAAAATGTACAAAATAAAATTATGAACTTACATAAGAGTACGCAGATATGTTTAGACTACGTTCCAGAGCTTTTATCCCTTGACTGATGTAGATTATCGCGTTCCAGGTCGAGAGATACGTCGACAAAAAGCTGGACAAGGCCGAGCAGCTGTTGAAGAAGGGAGAGACCCGCACGCGACGCTGGTACCACGCTCTAATCGGCGAAGACGACGTCTTCCAACCAAAGGAGATCCACTTCTTTCTAATTTCCTTCGTGGCGGGGGTCGCGCTTGGTATCGGAACTGCTAACTAGGTAGTAAATTGCTGCACTCTGAATGTAACCAAGAGGAAGATTGATCTTTATGTTGCGCAAAAGGACAGTCGCCACGCCGTCGACGACGACGACGTCGTCGACAAGTACAATAGCACAATCATGAGCGAGGTAAAGAATAAAATTAATGAGCTGAAGAAGTGGGTGGCTCGAACTACGCTTAATAATCCTAGATAGGTAGATTTTAATTTTTTTAGTTTCTTATGTAACGCTAACGATAGGTAAAACTCACTCGTGTAGAATCGCTTTGCAAAAGTTTAATAGAAAATACAATCTCTTCATTGGTGAACAAAATTGAAGTGAATTTTACTTATCGCTACCAATAATTTCTCTTTAAGAGTGGACACATCAAACGAATGGAAGTCACTAATTTTTTTTTCGCGTCTTAGATTGTGAGAAGAACTAATTTATTTAGAATAATACGATGTTGATGTTATTGAAATTTGATAGACACCGCGAATTATTCGTATATTTTATTTCACGAGTTTGTAAAAAAATTGGAATATTTTTTACGAAACGCGAAATTTTACTGTTGCCATTTGCACACAAGACATGCGAATACAAAAGTATAGATTGTGTGCACGTAAATAAAGAATAAAGAGATTTCTTGTTCGTTCAGAATGCAGCAAGAAATTAGTCATCTTAGGAGATATAAACCTATTGCTAGTATAATATTAATATACTACTTGTCATAATATTGTGAAGAGGCTCGCGAGTTACTCTTTTCCTGTTATTTGTACACTTAATTCGTTAATTAATCTATATTTCCATCGCATGATTTATACATATATATACATTATATATACCTTTTCTTATACAAAAATCTTAGTACTTATGTACCATCTCAAATAAAAATTATTTAATGATGTTTGCTGCAAAAACAATATTCAGTCATTCGTTTTACTAGTCATGTTTGTTATAGTAGATGATTTAGAAATAACAGTAACTTAATTCTTCTATATATAAGAATTACTAAATTATTTGTTAATGTGTATTAATAATTTCTGCAAAAAGTATTGTGCTTGATATACTTAAAAGTTTTGCTTTAGCATTATTTAACAGAATTTAGATGAACTTAGAAAGCTTTTTCTACTATTGATCTAATCGATTTAAAAATTAATTTGATATAAAAATTATTTGATATATACATATAGATTAATATATGATAGGATAAAAAGTGTAAATGGAGGAATAAATACATACATATTTTAAAACAATAAATTATATATAATATATATACGTAGCAGTATAAAACATTGTCTCACAAGATGTCGAAATACTGTAAACGTGTATCATACCTCAAAATCTTTTCAGACACTGCATTATTATAGTTCTGAGACGTTTACGGATCTTTTGATCGCCATTGCAGAAAATATGCGTAGAATTGTCTCCAATCTGAATAAGAGTGTCCTCATCTTGCTGCAAACAACACAAATACATAATTTTAATATTTTAGAATTCTCCTTGTTTGAATTTTATTTGTATATCTATAAAATTTTATTTATATATAATCATCTTCATTTATTTTAATTTATATATATATATATATATATAATTTTATTTCTATATTATTAAAATTATTTAAAACTATTAGAATTACATTATTAAAAAGGTTGTCATTTATTGAAAAGTATAAGCCGTACCAGATGAATACTTGTGGAGGTGGGACTGTGTTGCAACTTGGCACCTTGGATGCCCTCCTGATTGAGCTTTTGCAGCAACTCCTGTGGATCCAGATTCCCATACTCGTGTTTCCGTTCCTTCAGCACTTCCTCCTTGACGGCGCAGGCGTACCTGACGGTATCTTTCTTTTCCACTCGGTCTATCTTCTATACTCTGGAATTTAACATATTTTCAAAAACTTTGCTAGCCATCCCCATGAAGAATTGCAAATATAACATCACCTATCGTGTTTCTCTTCTCAACATAATTTTGAAAAAATTGATACATATTTTTTTATTTTATGCATATACTGACAAGCACCTTTATGGTGTACACGTTATCCTTGACTTCTAGCTCTCCGGTGACAGAAGCGAGACTCAAGCCCGGTCGCACTTCGCTCGGTACGATGTTGCCAGCTAATTCTGGCTCAATAAATACACGGCCTTTCTTTCGCTTTAACGGCAATTTTATCACCTCTCCGCGTTTAAACGTAATCAAGGGTTTTTCCTTAAATAGATATAGTGCGTATTAGTTTATACATTCCTACACTTTACATACACATAATAAATTATAATATATTTATATTATAATACATTTATAATTTATGTAAATTATAATATAATTTTATAAATTAATATATTTTATAAATTATAATATATATATATTATATTTTATAAATTATAATATAATATAAATATATTATAATTTATAAAATATATTATTATAAAATATAATTTTATAATTTTAAATAATAAATGATAAAATATGATTTAAATAACTCTTGTTATCAAGTGGAAAATAATACCAACTCCAACAGACTCGATGACAAGATCCGTTCGATGGGGCGCAGTTAAAGGAGGCTGTGTATAAACTTCTGGAATAACCAAATGCTCCGGTTTCAAGTCTCGTATGAGTTTATTAGCCTGAGTGAAATTGAGGAGGTGTCGATGGGGCAGTGCACTGCCTTCATAGCCAATGGTTGGAACGGAGCGAGGGCGTCCAAATACGGGAAATCTGGCTCTGAGAAAATTCAATATAAAAAGGATTAATATATATTATAAATATGATACATATTACAATAAATATAATTAATATATAAATATATTATAATTATTTTAATATTATGATTATAATATAATTATATCATGTGTCACTTATAATCTATAATAAATTATATATAAAATATATAATATAATAATAATATATATTATAAATAAAATAGCAATATACTATTGAAATAAATATACAAAGAAATATTTCGAAAGTAACGTAACTCAAATCATAAATTGGAATAAATAGAAAGACATATTTAGAATTGATAATCTACATTATATGCATATCCTGCACATTTTTATTCAGATATAAAATAAGAAAAAAATAGCTACGTTACTTTCTAAACAGCAACATGCACAACTATATCTCTATCAGCATATATATACCAGTGAAAATGACGGTATGTAGGGGATTGTTGCCCCACAATTGCACGAAATGCACGGCATCGCCGAATCGTAGACTGGGATGACCGCAAAAAACAACACAGGGTTGTCGATAGTCATTGCTAAATCCCTCGGCATACGTGGACGTATAATGCTTCAATCGCGCATTCTTCACGAGGAAAGCGTGTGGGAACGGTTCCTCTGGAAGATAAACTTTGTTTTGCTTATTTGTCGACAGCCTAGAAGTAGAGGATAATAGTAAACCGGGTAAAGACTTCATCTAAAGCGTATCAGGAATTTTTCAACATATTATAAGGAACGTCCTTCATCCGTACCATTCGGCCAGAATGTTCGAATAAGCCAAGGACGTCTCCGCCACCGGAGAAATGAAGAAGAGAGGAACCTGCGTAAAGCCAGACTTGTCCAAATGGGTGCTCAGGCATTCGAATAAATCGTACACGACGCCAGAAGGGTAACAAGGTATAAGAACGCATCCTCCGCCCCTGAGAGTCACAGCTACGAGGAATAAAAAGTCATTTTACATCTGCATCCAGTCCAGAATAATTAAATCGTATCGCTCTTATTTAATTCAACTTACCCACAGTCATACACAATTCTCCAAGCATCGTGTCCGGGTTAGCAGTAGGTGTTTGTGTTAAGCCTGTCAATATTAACATATTGGCATGCTTCAGGGTGGCTTGTTCCATGGGTCTGGGATGAGTGGTCAACGTGGACGAACCGCTGACGAAGGCAACCTTCTCGTGATCGCAGGATATTAACCAGTTGCTGCTGCCTAAGCAGTAGCCTGAGCTGATTGGTGTAACTGTTAGAGCACCATATATATCCTGCAAGTAGATGAAATGTAATTAGAAGATAGTAAGTAAGTCACCTTGTGAACCTTAAAAAGTTCTAATTTTGATGAAATTATATATACATACATAAATTACCATGTAAAATATCAAAAAATGTTTTATACAAAAATTTCATCATAAAAATATAGCTTTATTTAATTGTATATATTAGTAAAATTTTGAAAAATAATCCTCTCCTAAAATTTAAAAACTTTTAAAATTTTATTAGTTTATTATTTATTAATTTTATTTTATTAATTTAAAAATTACTTTTTTAAATTTTATGCTTCTCATATTTTCATATTGCGAGAAGTTATCTTACACAAAGAAATTTCATAAGACAGCAACTCATTGACAATAAGAAACTATTTTATACAAAAGTTTCGCGGTAAAAATATCTCTATTCAATTAATAAAATTTAAATTTAAAAAATTTTTTAATACAGTATATTTTATTATAATTAAATTTTTTTAAATAACTTCTCGCATTGAAAATATGAGAAGCATATTATTGTACATTTTATAAATCAGATATTTTCTTATTTTTCTAGGAATACACCTGAGAACCATTTATATAAAAAAAATGCATGCATCTCCTATACATCTTAATTTATTATCGCATTTTTTGCAGAACGTACCAGCTTTTGATCGTATCCGACCATCTGGATATTCGATAATGCCGAATTCACAGCCGATGTGGAATAGATGTGCCTCCAAGATTTTGGTTTAATAACATCCGCTAATGGAGGTGGCAACATATGCAACATTTCCTTCCAGTGTTTAGCCATTGTCGCCTTCGGGGTCTGCTCGATAAATTCCACCAGCTCTTCCATGAAAATCGTCCGATTTGCAACGTCGGCTCGGTGGCATATATTATACCTTTGAATCATTAATCATTCTCATAGATTACATTACAATTTTGTACATATTTTTTTTCACGGCTTAAAATATGTACCTTTGAAACCTGTACCCTCTGTTATGAAGGGCAGCGCAAGCATGCAGGTGTAATTAGATATTAAAATAGCATCAATCTCGGAGAAATCGATAATTTTTTCCAGAGGAGGAGAGAATTCTGGCACTGAGTCCACAAAAATTCTACCGCAACATTCTTTTAGCTCCTTGAAATAGATTAAAATTATATATATTATATATACATCATATAATTATATATAATAGAGAATTTAATTAATATATAATAAATTAATAAATAATAGAATTATATATAATAAATTAAAATGGTTTCCTTTAATCAAATACTAACTCCTTCGACTTGCCAATCTTGCTGATTGTCACGTGGGAACCAGGTCGGCAAGGAATTAAACTTGCTGCTAGGAACCATCGGCAAAGGCATAAAATGCAGAATGGATTGCATATTTAAACCACAATCCAACATCAATGTGATTCCTTTGAAGCTTAGGACCAGACATGGCTTTGTTGGTTCGCTCGATAGGCAATACTAAAAATTAATGTTAAAAATTACATATTAAAATAGATTACTGCGAATAATATCAGATTACTATAATTAAGTATTTGACAGCTATTTCTCCCAATTTTTTTCTGCACAATATTTTTTCAGAAAAAATTTTTTTCACATATAAGATTATATTTCAAAATAAATGTAATTATATGATAATTATATGCATTTATGAAACAATTATAAATAAATAATTAATGTTATTTTTAATTGTGTGCTTATTTAAATTTTATTCATTGATTTATGTTCGAATTTTGAGGTTATGATTACAAATTTTGAGGTTATATCCAGAAATTGTCACGAATTTTGAAAATATGCTTAGTATTCTTTCATTCTTCCTTTTTTTAATGAAAATTTAGGTACAAAGTATCGTATTTTATTGCGCAATTAAGTAAAAATTGAGCATATTTACCAGCTTCATCACGAATTATTTTATTTACGGTTCACAAAAAATAACCAACACGTCGATTCTGCAATAAAAAATAAACTAAAACTAATCTTCTTTTAACAACTCTGCCTCTTCAAATTCGTTGATTTTTATACCATTTCTGTGTAACCGGCAACAAACTTTATTCTTCTCTTTCAGATTCTGAATATCAGAAACGAGGAACGAGGAAGAAAAATCAGGAATAGCGATAAGAACCAACCAATCAGAATTCAGAATTTTCGAACAGCTGATCCAAGCAAACATAACCTAAAACTGTCAAAAAATATTTAAAAATTACATATTATTATTGAACAGAGTAAGTAAAAAAAAAAAAAAATATATATATATATAATGTATATTATAAATTTTATAATATAAATATATAAAATATAAAAATATGCAATATACAAAAATAACATAAATAATATATTATAAAAATATATATAATAAATATAATTTAAAAATCCAGTCTGTTGAAATTTAAATTTGTATATATAAATTCTATATCTATTCACAGTTTATTTATGTTAAATAAATATTGAATTAATTATTATATTTATTATTGTATTTATTTTTATTATTTTATATTATTATTATATTATTTTATATATATTTATTTATTTTTGTTATTATTATTATTATTATTCTATTGAATTATTAAATTAATATTGAATTCCTCGTTTCTACTTTTTATTTCTATAGCCTGAAATAGTGCGTCAATCAATCCAAGGAAGAAGAAGTCTGATATTGCCCAAGAAACTTTGCACTTCTAAATATTATTTAATAAAAAATGCTAGAAGTTATTGTTCTGTTCGATGGATATTCTGAGGAGTTGCCCAACGGAAGGATGGATGCAAATTGCACTTGTACACTAATAAAAAGCACCAAATTAATTATCGTTGATACCATGACAGCTTGGGATCGCGAGAAAATTATAGCAGGTGATAGAACTACAGAATGCATTGAAGTTACCTTTTTATTTAATACTATTTTGTTATCCACTTATATTGTAATTAACTTTTTGTGTAATTTTCATATAAATTCTCAACACCTAAATCTTTTGTAATCTTCAGGTATTATATTTTTACAATTTTTTTCTTGTATTACGAATATGCATGATATATGTATAAAATATGTTACATGTATATAAATACATTTCATTTTCAGCTCTTGCAAAGCACGACATCACCCCACAGAATATTGATTATGTTGTATGCACTCACAGCCACCCAGATCATATAGGGAACAACAATTTATTCACAAATGCAACACACATTGTGGGCTTGCTTGTTCAACAGGGCACTATGTTCTATGAGGATCCTCGAATTCCGCGTGGTTGGTTTATTTAAATCTTTTATATAGCGTTATTGAATATTTTATTATTATCACTGAACAAAAGCTTTTTTCTCAAATGATTTTTTTTTAGAAGGCTACGAGCTCTGTCCAGGAGTTAATGTTATAGCTACTCCGGGACATACAGCTGAGGATGTCAGTGTTGTGGTGAATACAATGAAGAATGGTAAAAAGACAGTTATTGCTATTACAGGTATTTATTTTCTGTTTTAGATTAGAATTTCAAAGATTACATGTCAATGTATTCTTTAACGAAACAGATTAATGTATTAATTTTGCCAAAATTGAAAACTTTAAAATTTTATTTTTTTACATATTTATATTATAGTTTTTATTTTTTATAATTATGTATATTTAAATATATTTGTATTATTTTAATTGTGTATAATTTATATAATTTTATTTTATATAAATATTCTTAATTTTACAGGAGACTTGTTTGAGAACATGAATGATATTTTCGTTCCGTCGATCTGGAAATCACTAGGCACGCCGGAACTTGTAAAAACCCAATCTCTTATGCGTTCTCGCATAATAACTCTCGCAGATTCTATAATACCCGGACACGGTCCGATGTTCAATGTTACGAGCACTATGAGGGAGCTCGTCACGGACCAGATATTAAAATGAGATTACATAAATCATAATTGATATCTTGTAAATATTTGGGTACGTCATAATTTGTATGTACAGAGTGTCCCATAGGAAATTGCTGAAACTAATCAGCTGTCATTTTTTAATGCATGCAGTTATTGAGAAAACAAAAATTGTGTTGGAAAGAGGAAAATCTGCAGTTTCTTAATGGATATAAATAGAATATTTGTATACCAGTTTGTTTTATTGATAAAACGTAATGAAAAAAGTGAAGAAATTACATAAAATCACTTAAACACATATCACAAAATCACATAAAGAAAAAATATTTTCAATACTGCTAAATAGCAGCTATTAAAAGGACCATCAGTAACATCAAAAATAACATATTAGAAAAAGTTTTTGTATGAGTTTTCATAGAACAGAATTTTGTACAAATTCAAATGATGCGCTCTTCGAAAATATTTATCATTAGTTTATACATGAGAACTACTTAATTTTTTAGATATTTATTAGCACTTTTTTCAATAAAATAAACTGATATACAAACATTTTATTTATATCCATTAAAAACTGCAGACTTTCCTCTTTTCAACACAATTTTTGTTTTCTCAATAACTGCATGCATTAAAAAATATATAAATATTGCATATATATAGATGTAATATATTTTTACAAATACTTTATTAAACATTGCAAAGTGTCGTACATGGTATCACAACGTTATTATACTCATTGTATGTATACATTGCGATTATTACACGTTACACCGGATTCACAAACATATAGGTTTATACATAGGAGCGATTTACCATCTTACATTGCGATTTTTTTGTTGCCACACATCGATACGCCGAATCAATATATATATGTATAACTTGTCTTGAAACAATCTTTTCCATCGATATTACATTTCGTTTATCTCGAAGAATTTAATCCGCGAATTCGAATACATGCTCTTACTTTAGCAAATACATAGTAAACGTTATTCTCAGACATTCTTCCATTCTAAGGATTCGTTTTCCTAATATATCTACATATATTCTACGTTCGCAAAACAACTCTATCAAATCTTCACAGCCAGCGACTATAAATTAAGAAGTCCTCTCAATCGCATCATCTTCCGCATCCTTATTTAAGAATTATCTTATAACTGGTAGAGAAGAGTTTTCCTTTTGTGGGAGAAGAAATATAACATTTATAGTTTTATCATTCTTTTCTTTTTACCACGATCGAAATTCAAAATATGTCCTCTACGAACGATAAAAATATTTTAAAAGCGAAGAGATATTGTTGCAAATCCTTTTTTCTCGGGTTGTGTAGGTTGAAGTAGATCGGTGACTTGTTTTTTTTTCATCGTACAGACATAGCAAAGAAGGAAGAAATGATTTTTCACTCCGTTACATATCGACATATGACACTGCTCAGCTAAAATTAATTATGTAAACGTTGTAAACAATATAAAGAGCAAGAGAGTGCCCCGCACTCTAATATAGAATAGTAAGCTAAGAATACTTTGTACGAAACGGCAAAGTCAATTCGCCACATGCTCTAAATATATCTAAAAAATTAAGTAGTTCTCTACGAGAAAAATCGTTCATCTTCTTCTTACTCGTCGTATAAATTATAGCAACAGAAACGTAATCTGTAAACAAATCTACATAATCGTTCTTTTCAAGTTTATACACAATTCTTATATATTACCCTCCCTCTCTCTCTAATTCAACTTTCATCGATTCTACCGTTTTCCTTAGATTGTAATATTCGATGCGTATCGACTTTCGCTACATCTTTATCTCATTGCTGTATTAACAATTTTTTCCATATATATGTATATATATAACATTATTATATATTATAATTTATATGTATATATATAAATGTTATTTATATATATATTGTTATAAATAATAATATTAATATGTATAAATATTATATATGATATATATAATGTTATATACATTTCATAATATATATATGTATATAATACATTTTAAAATATATATATAATAATCTTCATCAGTGTGAGAATATTTGAAAAATCACGAAGAAATAATCAACAGGTGTGTGTTATCAAAATTAATCTATCTACAAACTTGATGCGAAAGCAATAAACCCAAAATGAAAATCTTTCCTGATGAAGAATATTTTTTTTTCATTTCGGCAAATCATATTAAAAATCGCAGGAAGCACGACTAGCTCCAAAAAGTCCCTCAAATCTTAAATATGAGCTGCTTCGACATATACATACATACGTACACTTTCTTTGATCGATACATTCATCAATTGCGATCACTTAAAGAAAGGCTCAAAATCAGCAGCACGTTGTGACATTAGAATATCGATCGATCTTAATATTTTACAATCAATAATGCATCAACGCACTCTTTGTAACAGTTTGGCTCGATGGATATTTTTTCGAAACAACTACAGTTTATTAATTCTAATCTGCGATTTATATATAAATTTATATAATTTATATTTATATATTAATTACCTAGATAGCCACAAATGATGCATTTTGATATCAAAATGATGTCATAATAATTACTGTGGCTATCTGGGTATATATATATATATATATAAAACGCACTCCTTGATACATTTTTTTTTGGCTAGATGAAGAATTTTTTTGGAAACAACTTTATTAGTTCTAATCTATGATTTTATATATAAATTATATATATATAAAATCATATAGCTATATAAATTATATATATAATAAATTACATATAAATGTATATAATTCTTAAATTTATATATAGATATATAATATGAATGATAATTTTATTTAAGAAAAGAATTAAACTGGCTCATAATAATATAATACACAATTCTAAAATCGTCGTGCGGCTGATTTTCGATCGTCGCGGATGCGAGCTAATGAGGTAAAAGCGAAACGAGGCTTGGCTAAGGGGAGATTTTACAAGTGTCTGCCGACCAGACCTGGCAGGGCGACTCGTGTGTGCAGCGGTAGTGGTCCCGGACTAACTTCCCTCGTCATCATCATCACAGTCCCCAACTGTCCCACAAAGCAATTAAACAACACAATCAAGAATCGACTCCAAGAATCATCGCCTCCTCGCGTCATTGTTCGACATCGATTCATCATCATCATCGTCATCATCATCATCATCATCATATCATCATCATCATATCATCATCATCATCATCATCATCATCATCATCATCATCATCATCATCATCATCATTATCATCATCATCATCATCATTATCATTATCATCATATGTGTAACTTTTGTCTATACGTTTTTACATATTCAGAGGAGCCGAGATTATTTATTTACAGAGGAGAAAAAGTCAGGTTGGGCAATTGTTGTCATCAGGTTGTAGAAGCTACTTGACTTCTTGAGGAATTTAATTCGAGACCAACAAAGATGAAACCTCTATCTTCATCTTCCAACTTTCTTTTCTTCTCAATCCGTAGTTTTGATACAAATAAAGTAGATAAATGACGACAATCGACCAACCGAGGAGTCTTCGTTGCCTAAATTATTGTATCACGCCTAAAAGCTAGAAACACATTGCATGTTTGTGTGGCATCGACTCTTCTCTGTCTAAAAAATATAAGTAATGTATTGTATAACAATTATGTATCAGTACGAACATAATAAGTGTGTGTAATATCACCACCAGATACATGTACAGGGTGTCTCATAGGAAATCGCTGAAACTAATCAGCTGTCATTTTTTAATGCATGCAATTATTGAGAAAACAAAAATTGTGTTGGAAAGAAGAAAAACTGCAATTTTTAATGAATATAAATAAAATGTTTGTATACCAGTTTATTTTATTGATAAAAAATAATGAAAAAAGTGCTAATAATCACAAATTAATGATATAAATATTTTCAACAGCGCCAGATTTAATAGCAGCTATTAAAAGAATCGTCAATAATATTAAAAATGACACGTTAGAAAAAGTTTTTACGAGTTTTTGTAAAAAAATAGAATTTTGTATAAATTCAAATGGTGCGCACTTTGAAAATATTTATCATTAGTTTACATATGTGATTACTCTCTAGCACTTTTTTCATTACTTTTTCTCAATAAAATAAACTGATATGCAAACATTTTATTTATATCCATTAAAAACTCCAGAGTTCCCTTCTTTCAACACAATTTTTGTTTTCTCAAATAACTACATGTATTAAAAAATGACAGCTGATTAGTTTCAGCAATTTCCTATGGGACACCCTGTATATCTTACTAAAAACGTATACGTAAAGAAAAATTAAGTGTCTAAATAGATCTAAGAGACCTCGGTAGAGGTTGAAACTAACATAACGACTCAGGAAATATCTCTTACGAACTAATACGCTTAATAATTTAATACTTAACATATATATGTAGATTGTGTAGATCGAGCACCGAGAAAAAACAAATACATATATATATGTATATATAATAACGGGGAGGATCGGTATAAAATAATAAATCTTAAAAAGAGAAAACCTCTCTCTCACAACTGCGACCTACGTGCAGAGCCCCTTATACTCGTCTGTGAAAATAAATAATATAAAAGAATGCAACACTAAGGAACAAAATAACGAAACATAAAATTATGTAACATGTATAAAGTAATATACATATATTGTGTTTCATGCAGATATTAGATAAGATATTTAGCCGCGTTATTGCGAGATAAATTATAATGCCACAGATTTTTCTGTCAAGATTGCATGCAAAAAGAAAAGAGAAGCGCTCGAAAGACACAGTGGATAAAGAAAATATCTGAATACATTTTCTTTGTACAAAGAAAACAAAGGTTTAATAAGTATATTTTTCTAAAATCCTAAAAAATTATTATTGGATTTTTAAATGCATATTAAACTTTTATTAATCTATTTTTATTCTATTTCAAACAAATTTGGATATATTCTAAATAAATTTAAGATTTTCTCTTTTTAAGATATTTAATACTATCATTTTACGTGCAAAGGATCTACTCTGTTAAAAATAACTTTTTTTTAATTATTATTTTGTCTAATGCATTTGTCAAACTGCTCACAAAAAATACGAGACTTGTCTCATCCACTGTATCTTCTTACAAATAATTAATAATTAATACATTCGTTATATCCAGAACGTGTGTGAGGAAGGAAAATTAAAATCTAAAATTAAAATTTAAAAATCACAGCAGCAACAGCGCTCCTATAATCCCTCTCACAACGCTTCCCTTTTATTCGATTAATTAATGAACACTCGGAAAATTATGTTTAATGCCCGACCGATTCGTCGAAGCGTCTTCGCGGAAAGTTTGACAAATTTATTTACTGGTATTTGAGAAAAAAAAGAAAAAAAAGATCACATAGGAAAATAAATTCTACGCTCTCAGTTCATTAAAATCGCTCCTAATTAAATATCGGTAATATAATTACCCTGGGGAGGAAATCGCTTGCAATTTTTTTTATACCTAAATCCGCAATTATATCTGGGGAAGAGAATTTGTCTCTATTTTCCGCACAGGAGCGTTTTTTCCCGATTTTTTCCTACAACGTTCGCAACGGGATGAATCCCTCCATTCCGATGATTCTGAGGTCTTCTTCATCGGAATCGAAATCATCATCATCATCATCATCGCCACCACCGTCGTACCTCTCTCTCTAGAAAAACCACGTTAAAAAAAATGTGCGGCTCCGTGTCTGACTGAATTATAAATATTTCGCGCTGAAGAGAAAAAATATCATGAATGCGTGAATAAACATTAAACATAATTTTCGAACCGACTTTACAAGCAAAGAATTATTACCCGTATATGTATTATATATATTACATAATTATTGTAAATTATACAAATCGTCATATATATGTATATACTACATTTTACTTTGTATCGCTATGCGTTTATTATATCCATCGATTAATTTTCTCTCTGCCGTATATATGTAGGCAATTTTTCACTGACTAGAATAATTGAATCTGCTGCACAATCACTAAAATCATCACAACACGTAGGAGAGGATACGCAGTTTCCAGTATTTATATTTCGCGCGCAAGTTTGCTTCGTTATAACTTCACTGTTTGTTAATTTAACTTAGTAACTAAATTGTATGTATGTATGTATATATATATATATATATATATATATATATATATATATATTTATATTTATAGAGCACAGCAGGGAGAAGTCAGTTTGCATTAACTCTCCGACAGAGGACGGCGTTCATACATAATTTTACATTTTTGTGATGAATTTCATTTTATTCTTATTAAAATAAAAAATATTCCTCTCTTTAAAAAAAAAATAGTTATTAATGGTCAGAAGAAAAAGAAAGATATCTTCAAAATATAAATTATTTGTTTGTATGAAACATTCGTCCCCTGGCGAAGAGTTAAAAAAACAGCGAGGCATCATATACATTCCTCTTATTCATAGGCAAGCGAGTTAAAAATCCATAGTGTATTTACAATTATTATCGAGTTTCCTTTTTTCGAAAAATTGAGGTGTCGAATGCGATAATAGCGTAAAACTTAAAATTTTAATATCAATTCATGACATAATTATATTACCTTTTATATTGTATATTTATATTTAAATATATTTTATATATTTTAAATATATATAAAATATATTTTTGTAAAAATATATGTGCGTAATTATACGTATACAAAAATATATAAATTTTATACATGTATTATATTCAGAAAAATTTATGGATACACACATTATATATCAAGTTATTATTTTTATTTTGTTCTCTGTTGTGTGGGGAATCGTTTATCTTTTAAATTCATTTTTTTAAATATTCTTTCTCAATTTACGCTATTATTGCACCCAAGACTTCGATTGCTTTTCACAGAGAGATTAATTCGGAAAAAATTGGAAACAAGAAAAATTACATTGCCCAATCTCACATGCAAAAGAGACATTCAAGCTGATGTTTTATATATATAAAACATGAATATATATAAAACATGAAAGAACGAAAGAAAGAGAAATACCGATTAATGTCAAATAACGTTTGATAGTGATTACATTTTTTCCTACATATCTATATTGCTTATATTTATATGTAAAAAAAAATTAATCTTCTACATCAGGAACGTAACTCAAGTCTTTATCTCCCTCTCTTTCTATGATTTACAAATGTCAGGAAGAAAATAATCGCCAGATACTTGAATTCGGAATCAGATGGAAAAATTTTCGAATGTAAAGTTAATTTTAATTTATCAAACATTAGAACGTTAGATATATTATTATTTATAATTTTTGTAACATTATATTTTCGTATCTTCAAATTCTAGAAATATTAAGTCTCGTTCCCGACAAGATTTATATACTGTACAGAGAGTATATGTGTGTGATAAATATCATTTATATAATACATAACAAGTAGGCTCTCGTTTACACTTTAACTCTCACATTAACTCAAAAATAGAAATAAAATATATGAATAAATATCGTATATCTATTCACTTTTATAATAAAACAAAAGGCGTATCATACTTAACAAAAACTCTGAATATAACAAATACAAATACATGAGGTATTTAAGTTGACAAATAAGTATTTTCATAATAGCAATTAAGTAGATTGCAATTTTGCGAGTTCGATCAAGCGATCAATACATATGCAAAATATATGTATTATACGAATCTCTCTCTCTCTCACGCGCGCTTAAAAAGAATCTAGATACACAGTAGGTGGTGGTGTTAGAGAGGCTTGCTGTTAATTCTACCTTCTGTGTAAATTGAGAATTACATAGGGCTCGTCCGGATTAGTGCTGACGTCTGTGGTGCTGTTGTTAGGCTGATAGCACGGATTTACAGTATAATTCAGACTAGGCTGATGGAAACTCACCGGCTGAACACTGGTCCTGCGTCGCTCCATTTCGCGATCTTCCAGGCAAAAGTCAGAATCCGAATCCGCTTTTCTCGCAACGTCATCCTGCATCATGGAACAATGTTGTATATCTTTCCTCGTTCGGTATTTAAGACTTCTGACGCCTCGTCGATTATGATGAAATTGTGACGTCAGAAGTGACATGCTAAAAATTCCTAGATGTCATTTCGAAATAGCTTTTCATTTAAAAATGGCATTTAAGAATTTTCAGCCTGTGACGTCATAATCTAACATATCAGCGGCGAGGACTCAACAGCCTTGAGATTATTAATAACAATCAGGCAATAATTAGAATCTATTATCGTTCTAGAATTCTATTATTCTGATTTTAGAAGAATTTATATAATTTGATACAAAGTTCTTTTTCTATGTATAACTTGATGTGTCTAAAATAAGAATATCTAGCATATAATTAGTGATGAGATTAAATATCTTAATTATCTTACAAGGTTCGAATTTGTTTGCACAATTTCGAGCTCTGATTATTAAAAAAATTAATATATAAATAAAAAACTTAGGAGAAATTGTGAAAATAAATAAAGAAATGTGTAAATGAATAGCGAGTCATCATAAATAGATTTTTTAATCTTACAATTAGAGTTCTCCTTATCAATTTTCTATGAAAGAAGTACTGTTTTGACTCTTGCAGATACTCAATCTAAAATTCGGATACAAAATATTTACTTAAACCTTATTGAAAAATTCTCTGATCTTTCAGGTATTTTAATTTTAATTCAGGTGTAAAATAAAAAAATATAAAATATAACTTTCTAAAATAAGTTTCTTTATTATACGCGCTATTCCTAAATTAAAAAAGAAAGAAAAAAATTCCACATGATTGTTAACTTGACCAATTAGCTGATTATTGACCACTTGCAATATAATAAAAAGAAAATTATCAAAAGTACAATTTAAAAACAATTTTTCAGAGAAATTGCCGGATTTTTCAAAATAAAAAAAATTCCTGACAATCCTCGATTTTTTTCAGAACAGTACACACTCTGATAACTGTTTCTCCAGATTCGATTCCTTCGCTAATGCAATATTATTTTTCCCGAATATTTATTCAAGAATCTTGCAAAATGAAGCACTGATTATTGGATTCCATTTGAATTTTTAAGTGCACATTGAATAGGAAATTGCAGAAACTAAATAATCAGCTGTCATTTTTTAATGTATGCAGTTATTGAGAAAACAAAAATTGTGTTGAAAAGAGAAGAGTTTACAGTTTTTAATGGATATAAATAAAATGTTTGTATATCAGTTTATTTTATTGATTAAAAGTAATAAAAAAAACGCTAATAATTACATACGTAATAATATTTTCAAAGTCATCATTGAATTTGTACAAAATTCTGTTCTTTTATGAAAACTCGTAAAAACTTTTCTAACATGTCATTTTTAATGTTACTGACGGTCCTTTTAATAGCTGCTATTAAATCTAGCACTGTTGAAAATATTTATCACTAGTTTATGTGATTTTATGTGATTATTGGCACTTTTTTCATTACTTTTAATCAATAAAATAAACTGATATACAAACATTTTATTTATATCCATTAAGAAACTGCAGATTTTCCTTTCCAACACAATTTTGGTTTTCTCAATAACTGCATGCATTAAAAAATGACAGCTGATTAGTTTCAGCAATTTCCTATGGGGCACCCTGTACAGCACAAATTCTCACGGTTCAAGGACGTTGTATGCACCTGCGTCATCTGCTGCGTGGTCGTGAGGATTCTCGCCAACGGACTACAACAGACCGGCAACGTTTCCAGCAACGTAGGCCTGGAGTGCGTCAGCAGAGGCTTCATATACCTGGTGTCGAAGTCTCCCCAGATCCTAGCGAGCAGCGCTTTCTCGTTAGGCTTCGCGGCGCCGCCGCTGCTGCCTGGTAACGCTCCATCCTGCATAGAATTATACTGTGAAATGTGAACAACGCATCAGTTATCCATCCTGTATGCGACTTGTCAGCCTTAAATGGATACGCGATCTGTACAACCTGGGATTGTATTAGCAAACAGCGAATATATTCGCAAATGTTGAGAGAAAATATTGAATTCGTTCCTCGTTTTTTGAGCGGGATCCTATAGCGATAAGTGTAAACAATATTGATAACAGTAATAATAATATATATTAAGGCTCCTGGATTCTCACAACCATGTTAGATTATAACGTCAGAAACGAAAGCAGCACGTTGAAAATTCTTGGATTTAAAAACATGACATATAAGAATTCTTAGCGTGTTCTCTCGTCTCTGACGTCACAATTCCATTTTCCATCATCAGAGTGTATACTCAAATCTTAAAAATAAATTCCCTGAGGGTTCCATGATTTTTCAGGTACTTTTGTTCCTGGTAAAATTCCAAGTAAAATTAAAGCATTTTAAATAATATTTAAAGACAATTTTGAAATAATTATTTGTCATACATAATTTTTTAACATAAGTAAAGAATTTTTTTAATATAATAATGTAATATAGTATTATATTATAATAAAATATATTTTATAATATATACTTTATATAAACTAATAAATTTTATATTCTTTAAAACTATATTTTAAAATCAAAGGGGCACCTTTTTTAATTCCCTGTGTTTAAATCAAATTCCATAATAATTCCTGGATTTCTCAAGGTAATAAAATAAAATTCCCTCAGAATTCCAGGTTTTTCCAGGGAATATACACCCTGATTATGGTCTGTGAGGAGCCAGTAGCCTTAATAACATCCTTCTCGACTTATATTTATGTGTGTATGTTGTGTTCCAAGTTGTTACCTTATTCGCATACTTATTTTATGTTTAGTTTATGAAAAACATGCTTCATTTATTTCTCTCATGATTCTGCTGATTCCCACATACTGTGTGAGCATGTCTGTGAGGATACTTGTTAATGAAATGTAAATATCTCCGTGTTCTCCAGCTACTCTTCGACATACAGAATGGATAACAAAAACCATACTGAAAAAAAAACCAGAGGCACGTGCGATCGACGAGCTCAATTAATAAATCAAGCGGCAATATTTTCATATACATTGGAAAGAATTTATCAAATCAATAAGATAAAAAAAATAACTACATTCGCATGCTATGGCAATAAAATACATTTAATTCGATTTAAAAAAAAAATGTTCCTTCTAGCAGCACATGCAATTTGATTTCGTGCTATATAAATTATATACAGTGTCTCATTTTAAAAAATATGCTCTAACATAAAGAAATATCACGTTTTAGAAAACAATGTTTCGAACAAAAATTATTCGGTTTTAAGAGAGAAAGAAGTTGATAGTCTTGAATTTTAAGTAAGATCATTTTTTAAGATTATTTAAAAATCAATATAATTTTTTTACCAAGATTATTCAGAAAATAACGTGTTCCATATTTTTTCTCAGAAACTATTCAACAAGTTGATCGCAATCTTGAAAAATTCAAGACCTTAGTTAAAATTCAAATTTGTGCAAAATATTTTCTCATTGCACAAATATTCGGCTATATTAATTAAAATGAGACATCTTATGCTCATACATTATATATTATATCAATATGTCTCATATGCTTGCATAAATAATGTATCAATCTGTGAGGTGTGAGTGCGTTGTAGGAAATTCGAAATGCAAAAAAATGTGTCAATTTGTCTACACTCTGAATTCGTTGAACAGACGGTTTATATATGTGTGTGTCAATCAATCTTGAATTATATAACGTACCGGCGGACTTCTTTCCCTACGCACGTCCAGCTCACCGTAGCCGACCTCGCCGCCAGACTATCAACATTGATAAATTAAATTGTCTTGTAAAATGCAACGTTCGCTATTAGATAGTGAAGTATATATATATATATATATATATATAAATATATATTCACAAGTCCAGGGTTAATAGAGTGACATAATATGATCATGCTTGGCAATAGTGCACAGGGGACTAGAAGTGATGCAATTTTAGTCACAACAAATTTCCTGATTTTTTTCAATCTGCAGAATTGCAATCTTATTATAAAATTGAACAATTATTTTGCAAAACTCACAAATACTTTAATTTGTCAGAACAGAGATGCTTTCTCTCTTCATATAAAACCATATATATATATATATATATATATATATAAAATTATAATAAATTATATATGTATATACACATAATATAATTATTATACATATTATAAAAATGAAACTCGCTGAATGATAAATTTTTTTTGTATCATCAGGAAATCAACTTCACTAATAATTTTGATAATCAATTTTACATTAATAAAATTGTCAAATCTATTCCATATCTTCAATATGATTTTTGTAAAAGAAAAGCAAACCAAGTGTCCAGTGATTTGTATATTTAGATGAAAGCGATGATTGTGAAGGGAAGGGGCCTGTACAATTAACGAAACAATTAAGCTTGCATGCATAAGTGCACCCAAAGCAGACCTTATACTCGTTTAAGCATCATTTATTCATTACACATGCATTTTATTCTCTCGTATTTTTTTCTATATATTATGTTCTTTTTCTATATATTATGTTCACAAATATATTGTCAAAAATATAAAAAAGTATATTATATATATTAATTGATTTATTAATGAATAATTACTTTTATATAAATATATAAATAATTATATTAATTAAATACTTCGAGTATAAGAGTCTCGCTTCATTCATGCATAATCTCACTGCATCAAGATATCTGTTGCAATTCTCGTTGCAGATGATATTCAGAGTCGTGTATATAGTGTCGAGATTATATACAAACATATGAACATATTAATATATTTGTTATTCCATGTCGCGACGTTGATATATATATATATATATATATATATGTGTGTGTGTGTGCAGCCTGTATATTGATATATATTGTCTATATGTGAAGATAGTATAATAGCTATCTACTTCTGCATTTTATCTAATACTATTTTATGTAATACTAGTCTTAAGTAGTACATTTATTGCGAATGAAAATCATATCATACTTACACTACGCGTTCCATTGTGAGAGAGTCCTTCTATTTCTTCATCTACTCCAACTCTACAAATGTAAACAGAATTTCAGCTACAGTAGAGATATCATATAATAAATTTTTATCGTTTATGAGTAATTTAAGTATAAATTAAAAAAAAACAAATAAATTAGATGATAAAATTAAAGAAACAAACAAATTTTTGTTGAACATTCTAATATTTGCAAATTAAATAGCAAATAAAAAATGATAAAATGATTTTTACACTCACGAAAAGTATTATTTACTGAATCTAATAAATTTAAAATTATTGCATCTAATTCTGTTCTACTATATTACTCTATTTTTATATTATTTTAATTTGTAGTGTTACTTTTAGTTTTAATGTTAGTTGCAGTTTCAATTTCAATTTATTTAAGTCTTTTATATAATGTTATATAGTTTTGTATGTGTTTATAAATATATATTACAGAAAATTGTGATTATTTGTAACCGGAAGTTCGTCCTAAACCGAAAGACATTTTAAGGATTATTAATAATAAATAAATAAATATAATATAGTATAAATATAATAATATATAAAAATACATTAATATAAATATAATGCAAATATGTAATAAAAAATAATAAATAGTTAAAATTAATAAAAAATAAAAATAATAAAATATAATATAATATAAAAAATATAAATAAATAAATAATACTCACGGAATATTGAACCAGCTTAAAAATTGTGTGGTTGCACCGCCCTGCAGGATAACAGTCAGGATAACGATCAGACTCGTCGTAGTTAGCATAGCCTGTCTAGCGTCTGACACGGTGTTCCTGATGGCGAGGGCAAAACTCATTGCGCCGCGTAATCCCGCGAAGAACAACATGTGCTGATAATTCAACGATATCTTCGGCTTTCGCGCCAGATTCAGGATAAAGGATAATGGGTACACGTTAGCCGCGCGACCCAGCAACGCGCATAACTGAAGACGAGTTAGGTCAAGGATGTGCTATTTCAAATTTTCTTCAATATTTATATATTTCCTAATATTTATCTTCCAATAACTGAATGATAAATATCAATAAAATTCCAAATTTAACTGAAATGGCCAGAAATGCTGATAGAGCCTGCACGTGAGAAAGGATACAAATCCCGCGAAGATAAAGCCGGGATCAAAGTGGTGCTTCGGGAAGGTGAACATCGAGACGCCGATGTAACTGAATATAAAGTTCTCGGCTAAAAAGTTCAACAGCTCGAACAGTTGTTTTGTGCGCTGACGCGAATCCGCGCTCAAGTTGTTGTACGTATAATGAGCCTGGCAGATTCCGCAGAACAGGACAGCGACTACGCCTGAAAATTTCAAAATAACCACATATGTTAAACTGATACAAAAAAATCAGTTCTTATATAATATTTAATATTATATTATTATAATATTATATAACATATAATAAAAATAATTACAAATAATATATAATATAATAAAAAATAATTATATATATATATATATATATAAAATATTAGAACATTAATTAATATATAAAAATTACCTGTAAGATCGGCAGCTTCAGCAATTAAAAACGTACTATAAGACATTAAAACGAATAACGCCGATTCTAGGAGAGGGAAGTCTCGCACCCTGGTGAATTTTGTTAATAAAGCAGTGATGCAGCCCATGGTAGCACCGATAAACAGAGACAGACTGAATATTCCTACAAAGTCTCCAAACGCCTGGAAAAATGCCACCGTCTCGAAGCCGCCTGATCCTGACTGATACCGCTCGGCATAGTTCTGTATCGAGCTGAAACCAAAATTTACATTTTTTATTACATGTTTGCAATATGTCATACGTTAGCAAATAATCTTATTCAAATCTATTTTTTAAAATAATTATAGAGAATTCTACTTGTAAGATACTTAAGATTCCTGGTTTCTTATGTTAGATTATGACGTCAGAGGCGAGCAAACACGCTAAGAATTCTTAGATGCTATTTCGAAATAGCTTTTCATTTAAAAATGGCATCTAAGAATTTTCGTTGTTCTGACGTCATAATCTAACTTAATCTCGCGTTTGCTCACCCGCTAAGTACAATGGCGACCGCGTCGTTCAACACACTTTCACCGAAGACCAGAGCGTAGAGATTTACGTCCACGTGCAGGTCATTGAAGATGGATATTATCGTGAGGGGATCCGTGGGCGATATCAAAGCACCGAAATACAGGGTGTCGAGAAATGTGAACGACGTGGATAGATGAGGTATCAGTTGCACGAAGGCGTACATCAGAGCTCTGCAAAGAGATAATATTATTTAAGACTTGTAATCGAGAAAAATGACTAATTTATTATGAGCGAATGGTTAAAAGAAGAAAAACACGTAGTTTCTTTTACTCCTAAGTCACGAATGAAAGAAACAGATAAGCTCGATCAAAAGTACGACCTGTACGTATTTTATGATACACAACAGTTTCTATAAATGTGATATCTTTCCCTTGTTGCTAAGCGTCCGCTAACGGCTAAGCTTTTTTCCTAAATGTAAAATAAATATAATGATGGAGAAAAATATAAGATAAAACGCAGAAACGACGCGCTCTCCTCTGAATATTCCACAAATGTGAATTGATACAGTAACGAGAGGCAAAACAACATCAAGGGAAAAGCTTACCCAATAACGAAAGCTGATATAGAGGTCCCTATCAGAGCATACATAAGAATTGCACCCAGATTTCTGAAGAAGTATCTCTGTAAGAATTCATTATAAACAAGAATTATACGGATAAGAAACCAGACGTTGCGTCTCATTGTGGGATGATGACTCATTCCTCTGATAATAAGTACGGAAATATTTTTACCCGCTTCAGACTGTATCCCGCGTGGAAGATGATAGGAGGCAATATGATGTTAAAAAAGATTTCAGGATCAAAAGTTGCCTGCAACAATAAAAAAATGTTATATAATGTCCAATTAAAAATTACAAATGACCTATACAAATTTATTTCGATAACTTGAAAGCCAATACAGATAAGAAGCTATTTTTAGATAAATAATTTGTTGCCTTTGTTGGGAATGACTCATTTACCTTCAGATCAATTTCGTTATCTTCTTTGTAAATTTCACCGCGAAAGGAGTATGCGAACGTTTTGTTCTTCACGATACCACCGCCCTTGTCTTCAGGGAAACGTAGCCACAGCGAGTCTGGTGGTACTGACTGATTATACCTGCTTGTATTATCCGGGACCACTGGCATGTGCAGAATAGTACTGCTCGTTGTAAAACCATAGCGTATTATGGCTCCTATGATCAAGCCTGTAATCAACAGATTTAAAGATAAAAATAAATAAATTACAAAGCAAAATTAACAAAAATAAAAGTCGTTTAAATTAATCGTCATCAATAATCTAGTATCAATTCTTAAATATTCACATATCTCAAAAATGAAAAATAAAATCTTACGATTTCATAAGTTATGTAATGTTCTTCAATCATTGAATCCAAGTATCCGAGTACCCGTTTTAACCCTTCTGTCAATGAAGAAGTACTCAAGTATGCATTCTTTTGTTTATAATTGTTCTATCAATGAATGGGTATCCAGGTACTTGTTCAATGACAAAAGGGATAAAATAGGTATTCGAATACTTATTTTAACTCTTCTGTCAATGAAGGGTACTCAAATACTCAAGTATCCATTCTTTTATCGATAATTATATAATTGTTCAATGAGTGGACGGACATTCAGATATCCGTTCAATGACAGAAGGGATAAAATAGGTATCTGAATACCTATTTTTTAGTTCTGTCAAAGGTACTCAAAACTCAAGTATCCATTCTTTTGTCTATAATTATATAATTATTCTGTCAATGAGTGGACATTCAGATATCCGTTCAATGACAGAAGGGATAAAATAGGTATCTGAATACCTATTTTTTAGCTCTGTCAAAGGTACTCAAACACTCAAGTATCTATTCTTTTATCTATAATTATATAATTGTTCTATCCATGAGTGGATATTCAGGTATCTGTTAAATGACAAAATATGTATGCAAGTACCCACTCATTGACAGAATAATTACAAACATAAAGACGAATACTTGAGTTTATTGACAAAAGAATTAAAGAAATGTATGACACTTCACGACGTTCGCCTACGTCATTTGCTGGTATCTCTGGCTGTCACTTGGAAGAAACGCAGCAAAAAAGAATCATCGATAGCAGACGACTCACCATAGATGACAGCCAGACCAGTTTCATGGAGGAACCTCAGGCGGCGGTGCTTGAACATCCATATCGTTAATACGGTTAAAATCAATAGGAACGTGTAGAGGAGGAGGTTGAGACTGTCGAGCCGGTGCAACAGCTGCGCCTTGGCGTCGAGCTCGATGTCCGTCGTCGCCCCGTTGCATAGCTTCGTAAGAAAAATACAGAAAACTCCGAGGAGCAGCAGGCGTACACCGCCACTCGCCGCCATCTTCGCTCTTCTGACGTTCCCCCGATGTTGATCGCGCACTTTTACACTAAGTCAGGCTGACCCATCGCGCCTTGGGTAAAAATAAAAACCCCATGCGTTATCTAGGAAAAGATAAATTCCCCTATTAGTGCATTTTTCAATTTTTGCTTTCTTTTTATTTACAGAAAGAAACATCTCTGTTATTTATTTTATTTATAATAATATAAATTAATAATAACATTATAAAATTATATTAATAATATCAATATATAATTATATATATTATTATAATTATATTATTTATAACTGTATTTGCATGTTTTAAATATATATATTTTTTTTAATTATATATAAAACATATTTCAAAAATTAATAAAGATAATTAAAAATATATATATATATATTTTAAATATATTGTAGATAATTATTTAAAAAATGAATTTAAAAAGGGCTTACATGATATCTTTTTTCCTCTATGTATTTCATTGATGAATTTTTATATATTTTACATAAAATATATATAATTTATTGTATATTATTATTTTTATTTCAAAACTACACCTAAAACTACTACACATAAATCTATATAATGTATATAAATTAGATTATTGTGATTTGTACTATCCATTTTAACGATAAATATTCTAAAAACAACAAGAGAACTAGAGAAAGCTAATTTAATAAATTAGTATATCAATGACGTGAGATGTATATATTTGTAAAAGCAAAAATAACTTTGTATTGATAATTGCATATAAAATCAGTTAATATCTATAAATAAAACAAATATATTTTATTTGTTACTTGTGAGATTTGTTTTATTTATTTGTGCAATCTTTTTTGCAAAATTATTTGTGATATAGAAAAATATTAATTATAAAATTATAATAATAAATTAAAAATGTTGCAATACTTTTTTGGAAGACATGCTGTTCATAAAACAGCATTATAAAATAAGTAACTGAAAACTTCAAAATATGAAGTGGTAATACTTTTTTCATCAATGCCACTTAAAATAGAGAAAGAGAGAGAAAGAAATTTATAAAATAATATATTTTATAACCTTCTATAATTATCACGTTGCTGAGAGGAAGATCCTGACGTCATTGTCGAATAAATAAATGGCAAAACGGATGCTAGTGCTAAGCAGAGACCAATTATCGGTCGATACCACACCCAAGCAAAGCCGATCACAAGCAAACTGATGGACATGGAAACTGACATAGTTAGGGACTCGACTGCTATTATACCACAAAGGAAGGTCGAATTTAATATAATGGTCTTTAATATATTTGCTAAGCATGTGGCTGCCACAAATAGGACCAACCAACCAAGTCCTCTGTAAAAGAAAAAAATGTAATTTGATTTATTATTTATAATACACCAGAAAAAAAATATATATATATATAATGCTTTAAAATATGTAATTAAATCGAATCAAATTTTTTATAATAAAAAAAATCATTAATTATAATTAATTTTAAATATTATATCGTAAAAGTTGGTGATACTTTTATTTACTTTTATCAAACCAAAGGCTCACCTAATAGTCCACGTTCGCCAGTAATTGTTCACGTGCTCCAAATGGAACATCTGATCTATTGACATTTTGTGCTTTCGTTGAAGCAAGATCTCTTCACCGTGAGACGTATAATATGGCTTAATAGTGTCTTTCTCTAGCACACCGACGACCGAGTATACATCACCATTCTTTCCTGCATAAGAAAATTGTATTCTGATATCTCCCACCTAAAAACAATAGTTTATTATAATATTACTATATATAATATATATATATTACATATTATACATATTATAATATATATTATAATATATATATGTGTGTGTGTATTACTATAATTTAAATATAAAAAATTTGATGCGAGTTTTTACAATAATATAAATTAAAATCTAGATGTTCGAAAAATGTGGAGAAATATTTTATGAAACGACAATATCTAATTTTGAAAAAATTGATAAAAATCTTGAATTTTCGTTATTTAATTACATATAGCTTAGTTTCCATGCACTTCTAAAAAAATTTCTAATTAACTACATACTTGTGGATTCCACAAATCTGCACTATGATAATACAATCCGGAGTGCATCTTAATATCCTTCCGCTCTGGCCTCTCATCACTGGTAATCTCCACAAAATCACTAAATTTCTTCTTCAATTCCGTGCTGAGCGCATACGCGCCAATTCTCACTTCGTCCGCGATCTGCACTTGGCTCTTGATCGGAATTTCCTTTGGATTATGATGACCTGTACGAATATAGAAATGATCCGAGTCCACAAGCTTGTCCTTCCACTCTGTTGTGTAGTAGTAATGCTTATTATCCTCCGTTATTCCACCAAAACTAAGTGTCAAAAGATATCCACATTAATATTTAATATTTAATTATTTCAGCATTATATAATATTTGCTACATATGTAATAATCTACTAACAAAACTTTCATTCTTAGACGACATGCTGATCGCTATCCTGCTATTATTCACGCTACCTTTGTTCCTCTTCAATTTCAACCCACTGGTACATCTGAACCCTCCTTTTCAACTTTACGCTGGACATAACAATTCCATAATCTGGCTCAGTTAGTGGTTCAAAGACCGTCAAAGGTCCTGACAGATGTATTAAGCGGCCCTCGTACTCGGGTGACACCACCATTGAATTCGGAAGCACAGCTACATTGCGCAGAGCCTCGTCCAGAGAATGTGCTACCTTTACGGCTCTTCCCTAAGAAAAAAATAACAGTAAATGTTCCATCAAAATGTTTCAAACAAAAGGGTTCAGAGAGGGTCACTGAGCTTGACCTTGATTTGAAAGTTGAAGGTTATTTTAAAGTCAATATATAATGCCTTGTAGTTCAAAAAATACTGAATAAAGAAATACTTTATTATAGTGTTGGAAAGCTCTCAAGATGAGCTACAAGAATATGTAACGAGACAAAAGTTGTAGGATTCAGAAGGGATCATCTGACGATGACCTTGAGCTTGATCTTGGGATCAAATTTGAAGGTCGTTTCAAGGTCAAAATATAATGCCTTGCCAACTTGAAAAATATTGAATGAGAAAATACTTTATTACAGCGTTTTGGAAAGCTCTCGAGATGATCTTGAAGAATGTGTAATGAGAAATAGGAATTTTAATTAAAAAAAAAAAAATTTAATTTAATTCAAAAGTTTCGCAAACCTCGTTCCAGAATAGAAGGCACATCCCGGTGGCGAACATGATGGATCCGATGATGGCCGTCAGCCAGGACTGTCTGAACTGCTCGGAGATCGTCATCGGCATTTGATTCATCCTTTCTTGATCGAGACAGGAATTCCGCTCCGCGTTAACCCTCTGCGGTTGGCCATTTTGCTAGAAATCGGACGCTCCACGAGTCTATCTTGTTCCATTAGTCTCGATTATCGGTAACGGAGGATTTATTATCGTTCTTTGAGAAGAAATGTGTACTTACATTCGCGCGATACATCCTGACACCGGTCCGCGATCCTTGAATTTTATGCCTTCAAGTTTAGGTTAGGTGACCTCAGGTTAGGTTAGGTCGCCTCGGGTTAGGTTAGGTTGCCTAACCTAACTTAAGAAAATACTACTGTTGCCAGAGAGTCATTCTTTAATTCGAATCTTTATAGATTTATTTTAAATATTATCGTGCAATAAAACATAAAATGTCGACGCGATGGTAAGTCATTTAACGTGACAATTAAATGATGAAATAATTATTGATGAGATACGTTTAAGGAGACAAGAATGTTCGATGATTAATCTAACCTAACTTTAAAATTTTTTTTATACTATGTTATAATTCTGTCAATATTACACATCTATTAATTTTATTGTTTAATATAATAGAATATAATTATTTTTAATATAAATTTTATATAAATTATAATAAATTTTACAGAATATAATATATAAATAATAATAAAAATAATAAGATTCACAGAATTATAATTAATAAATATATAATAATAGATATAAGAAGAATAAATAAATATATATAGTATAATAGATTTCTTATATATGATTTCATAGATATGTATAAATTTTTTATGATGATTATTATGTGCTTTAAATTTGGTTCAGGTATCCGCTATACCAAAAAGGCGGTCCGCAATTAAGAGTATTTTTACCAAACTTCTGGATGAAGCTGATTAAGCCTACACACATACAGCCTGCGAATGTAGTGCAATTTCATTGCTCGATGGAAATGACTAAGTATGATGTAAAGAATTACCTGGAGAAAATTTATGGTGTTGACATCATGGAAGTGAGAACGAGAATAGCATTGGGCAGGACAAAGAAGGATCGGCTGCATGGCGCTGTTATTAAAGAAGATGACAGAAAAATAGCCTATATAGTATTGGTTAGTATGCTTTTATACTGTATTAAGTTTTGCGATCATCTGTTTGCATTACTGGAGAGGAATTCTGGTGGCGATCACAATTTGATTTGTTTCTTCCAGCCGAAAGACCAATCCTTTGTGTTTCCCGATCTGTTCAAAGATACAAAGAGTCAAGTTGATGAGAAAACTGTAAACGAATCTAAAAAGGATTTCCAAGATTATATAAAAGATAATAAAGCACCTGGATTGCCTGGTTGGTTTAGAATTTAGTAGATATAATAGATTTAAGGATTTATAATCATAATAAAGTGTATTTATTCATATTCCTGAAACTCTTAATTGTTAAAATCTTTAAGTTAGTGATGAACACAATTTTTCCATTACTTCTTGCTTGTTAATGTTAAAGATTCTTAATTATTTTTAATGTATTATTATTGATATGTTAGGTAATCAAAAGAACAAAGAGACTAAAGCATGCATCAGACGCATTAAAAATTGAGAATTAAAGATTAGAATTTTATTAATTTAATAATGTTGCAACTAATATTTATGGACATAAAATATAAAATTAGAAATTAAAATTTGACTAATCAGAACAAAACAAGCTACAATTATTTTTTTTTCTGATTGATCAAATTTCAGTTTTAATTTCAATTATCGTCTGATACGGGCTTTATTCAAATTAAATTTTAATTTTAAATTTCGCGGGCTTCGATTTAATATTGGATCGACGAATAATCAAATAATTTCAAATTATAAATAATATCGATTTTTAATCCATATTGTTTTTTCAATATTTGATATTTTAGTAATTTTGTCGATTTTTTTAATATATTTATAATATGCCTAAGTTGAGATTTATTGAAATCTGAATTGATTAGCGACCATATCGATCAAACAATGCTTGCAATAATTGAGAATGGCGTTAAACATAACTGCGGAAAGCAAACGGGCTGCAAACTCGAATGCTTGCACCGTTTATAGCAGGTAAAAACTATTATTAATAATTAAATTTAGCTGTGTGTCATTTATAACAAATAAAATAACAGAGTTGGCGGTAAAATTTACCTACGCGCCATTTATGACAGATATATAAAAATGACAGTTTGTAATAAAATTTATTAATAAAATTAGTGTCTTTTATAGCAGGTTAATGACAGTTGATAATTGTAAATGACAATTGATTGTAAAATTTAACTATTCGCCATTTATGACAGGTAAGTGACAGTTTGCAATTTTAGTTTTTGCACCTTTTATAACAATAAGTAAATGACAGCTGGTAATTATGTACAGTTTATAGCAAGTAAATGACACATAGCTGATGATAAAATTTAATAAATTAATCCAATTAATTTAATTATGCTGCTTGAAATGATTATAAAATCGAAAATTTCTCTCACTATATATTTTCTAAGTTCGTTTTCATATACTTACCTTATTCGAACAAATAATATAAAGATTATAAAATGAGAGGAAGTCCGTTATTCTATAATTATAAATTTTTATAATTTTTTCAAGCATAATTAATTTCACTTTTTTTATATTTCTTTTCCTTTTCAACTTTTTTACACTTTTAATCGTCTCAAGCAGCGGTGAAAAAATTTATAACGTTTGTAATTAGAGAAAAAACATTGTCTAGGGTGCCGTTTGCCGGGATGGATCGGACGAAGATCATGTTTTGCACGGACGTGGACAAGTCCGTGATCGTCCACAACTTCGAGAAACGCGGCTGGACGCAAGTCGGCCCGGAGGACGATTGGAATTTTTATTGGTAATTATAATAATAATAACAATCGCGACAACGATTCTACAATAACATTGATTTTTATGCGTTATTTATTTTATTTATTTATTTATTTATTTATTTATTTATTTATTTATTTATTTATTTATTTATTTATTTATTTATTTATTTATTTATTTATTTATTTATTTATTTATTTTATTTATTTATTTTTTTTATTTTATTTATTTATTTTATTTATTAAACGTGATTTCGTTGCAGGGCCGTGACGCAATCCTGCAGGAATATCTTCAGTGTTGAAACTGGATACAGGATGGATGACAACCAGTATATATAAATTTTTTTAATCACACATTTTTTATCCATTACATATAATTCTCTATTATTAGCAATAACATTTAAAAAATTATATAAATTATGTATTAGAAAAAAATCTCAGGAGTTTCTTTTGTCCAATATCTAGTTTTTAAAAATATATGTATATATGTATATTTACTAAAAATATACAGACAAATATGTATATATATATATATATATATATATATTTTTTTTATATATAGTAAAAATATTTATATTATATTTTAATTATAAAAATAAATAATGTATATATATTTTTATATAAATTAAATATGTATGATAATAATATGTATATTAAAAATTAGGGAAATTATAAATAATGAAGCTACGAAGAACTTTACAATAATCTTCTATAAAATGAATTTAAGGCACTTTGCAAAAGCTCTTGTTGATTATTATTATTGTTCTAGAATGATTAATCACTTCCCGAATCATTACGAGCTGACACGCAAGGATCTCCTGGTGAAGAATATCAAGCGGTACCGAAAGGATTTGGAGCGAGAAGGGAATCCTTTGGCGGAACGCGCAGATGGTCCAGGCAAATATTTGTACCTCGACTTTATACCAGTGACCTTCGTTTTACCTGCAGGTGAAACGACATTCTTCAAAAATTTTTGAAATATTATATTAAATTAAAATATATTTGAAAATTAGATTGTGTCGAAAAAAATTGCAATAGAATTTGATTAAAAAAGAACTCGATAAATCCTTTTATCTTTTTTATTTTTGTCTTTTTTAAGTTTGACAATTTAATTTCTAATAATTTAACAAATTATTTGATTCGTCTCTCACGTTCATGTTCATAAAAATATTATAATATTTATATTACACAATATTATATTAAAAAATATTATATTTATATGTATTATATTATATATATTATTTATATATATTAAAAAGTATTAAAAATTATATTTATAATATATTAAATATAAAGAATATATTAAAATATTTATATTACAATACTATATTAAAAAATATTATATTTATAATATATTAAAAAGTATATTAAAAAAATATATTTTTGTAGATTATAATATGTTCGTGGAAGAGTATCGCAAATCCCCGCAGAGCACCTGGATCATGAAACCGTGCGGCAAATCGCAAGGCGCCGGAATCTTCCTCATCAACAAGCTGAGCAAACTGAAGAAATGGTCTCGCGAAGCGAAGACCCCGTTCAATCCCAACTTGACGAAGGAGTCGTACGTCATATCTAGGTGATCAGAGTTGCGAGTTGCTTCAATTGTAGAAACCTCGACAAGAGATGAGATTATCCCTTCCCAGGCGATGAGGATGACCAACCAATTTCTGTATCGCGACAGATACATCGACAACCCGTTGCTGATTGGCAGCAAGAAATTCGACCTTCGACTGTACGTCCTCATCACGTCGTTTCGGCCGCTCAAGGCCTACCTCTTCAAGTTGGGATTCTGCCGCTTCTGCACCGTCAAGTACGACACCAGCGTTCAAGAGCTCGACAACATGTACGTGCATCTGACGAATGTGTCTGTGCAAAAGCACGGTGTATGTCATTTTGAAACTTCTAACATCTCTTAATTATAATACAGGGCAGTGTCCCGTAGGAAATTGCTTAAACTAATCAGCTGTCATTTTTTAATGCCTGCAGTTATTGAGAAAACCAAAATTGTGTTGGAAAGAGGAAAGTCTGCAGTTTTTAATGGATATAAATAAAATGTTTGTATACCAGTTTATTTTACTGAAAAAAGTAATGAAAGAAGTGCTAATAATCACATAAAATCACATAAACTAATGATAAATATTTTCAACATTGCCAGATTTAATAGCAGCTATTAAAAGGACCATCAGTAACATTAAAAATGACATGTTAGAAAAGTTTTTACGAGTTTTCATAAAAGAACAGAATTTTGTACAAATTTAAATGGTACGCACTTTGAAAATATTTATCATTATTTTACATGTATGTGATTATTAGGATTTAAAAAATTTTTTTCAACAAAATAAACTGGTATACAAACATTTTATTTATATCCATTAAAACCGTAGACTTTCCTCTTTTCAACACAATTTTTGTTTTCTCAATAACTGCATGCATTAAAAAAATGACATGTGATTAGTTCCAGCAATTTCCTATGGGACACCCTGTAATTTGCGGAAGTGTATTTTATATGAGTTGATTATCGAATGAAAACATTTCAGGATGAATATAACAGCAAACACGGCGGGAAGCTGAGCGTCCAGAATCTGCGTTTGTACCTGGAGAGCACACGAGGTAAAGCTGTTACGGAGAAGCTGTTCGCCAACATCTCCTGGTGCATCGTGCATTCGCTGAAAGCAGTCGCTCCGGTGATGGCGAACGATCGTCATTGCTTCGAGTGCTACGGATATGACATCATCATCGACAATAAATTGAAACCGTGGTTGATCGAAGTATCTTCATCATTTATATTAAAGAGCCGATCTAATATCCTTATTATTGTTCATCATTTGTATTTTATCAACAAAATCATTTTATTATCATTCATTGATTTTGTAATTTAAACACATTATTTTCTTTAATTATTAATTATTCATTAATTTATAAATTATTTTTAATTGTTTTTTTTATTTTATTTCAATTTTCTTTTTAAAATTTTATTATTTTTTAAAATTAATTTTAATTATAAAATGATCAGTAATTTACAAATTAATTTTTTTTAAATGATTAATTATTTAATTATAAATTAAAATGATTTATTTGATTTTATTCGATTAATGAATGAATAATGAATAGTGAAATTAATGAATAATTGAGAAAAAATAATATACAATTATAAATTATTTTTGTTTTTTTATTTTAATTTTATTTTATATTAAAAATTTTATTATGTTTTAAAATTAATCTTAATTATTAAATGATCAGTAATTTACAAATTAATTTTTTTTAAATTATTAATTATTTAATTATAAATTAAAATGATTTATTTCATTTTATCCGATTAACGAATGAATAAATGAATAATGAAATTAAATAGTGAATAATTGAGAAAAAATAATATACAAATTGCTAAATTAATGAATATAATTATACCAAACAAATACTTTTAAGTTTATAATTAATAATTTTGATTTATACCAAGCTTAGATATCATTTATCTTAAATTTTTAAATTGCATTTCCAGCAGAAAATGATTTCGTCACAAACTTAAAAAATTTTAAATATATCTAAATATTTAAATTTGTACTTTCAGGTGAATGCCTCGCCTTCTCTAACATCCACGACAGTGAACGACAGGATCTTGAAATACAAACTCATTGACAATATCGTGTCGGTGGTTCTGCCTCCGGACGGAATGCCTGAGTAAGTTTGTACGACTTCATCCTAACGAAAGAATTCATCGAATAATTAATTGGAAGATTATTAAATGCGATTATTGGATCGATCAGCGTGAAATGGAACAAATCACCTTCCCTGGAGGCTCTGGGAAACTTCGAGCTACTCCTGGACGAAGAATTGGCAGCTCAAGACGAGAGGGAGGGTTCATCAAACAAGTATCGCGGCTCCTCCCTCAGCAAATGGAAATAAATATCATATTATTAATTATTAAATAATTAATGAATATTAAATGAGAGAGAGAATAGATATCCAGGTATACGTTTATTAAAATATTCGAGTACCCAGATTTCCAAAGGATAACTAGAAAAAAATCAATTTTTAAATTAAGCAACTAAAAATTAAAATTAATTTTAAAAAATAATAAAATTTAAAAAAATAGAATAAAATTGATATAAAATTTTAAAAATAATTAATAATTAGAAAAAATAATTTGTTTACGTTACAAAATCAATGAATAATAATACAATAATTTTGTTGATTAAATCCATACATTGACATATGAAAAGGTGAAAAATCATGCATCGACGAAAGATGAATTTTCGAAGATTGAAAAAAATTCCGGAAATGTTTACATTAACAAACAATTTTATTTGAGCTATGTACAAATATGGTACACAGACGACGCGTTTTTATCAGTTGCGTGAAGATGTAAAAATATTTTAGACAGAGTAAGATTTCTTCAGTCTTTCGCGCGCGTGATAAAACGAGAGATTAAGAATAATCATTTATCAGGACGCTTCCTTTTGTTCTTCCCTTCAAGGCAGTGCGAGGTAAAGGTCCTTGCAGATTTTTTTTGTACAACTACGATTATGTATATCGTACAGGACTTATCGTACGGGTTTATGGCACAGTTTCTCGAAAACGACGATTACGCGCTGATATATACGCTGAAGAAACAAACGATTGCAAAAAGTTTGCTTCAAAATTGAACAACTTTGAAAGTCTTTGAAATTCGAAAGATATCAAATTTTTCATCCTTTATAATTGTCAAGATAAAGAAAAAAAAATATTTATTTAAAAACTGAAAAGCTAAGTTGTGACTTTTCTTCACTAAAATTTGCCCATTTTCCTTTCAAGGAGGAAAAACAATATAAAGGGATGATAAACTTCGGAGCTCTCTTTAGTAATTACAATGATTTTTTTTGCATTCGTTGTTCGTTCATTTGACGTATATCGCATCTTTACGCCAGGAACAGATGTATGTTCGTTTTTTTTTTTTTAACATATACATCATAAATATTGTACATATAAAATGCGTCGGTTATTGCTAAGTTTTCGACTAACATAATAATCTCTCTCTGTTTATGATGTAATTTATAATCTATAAATTTGTATGTGCGTGTACGATTGTCACAGACTCTTTGCAAATTCATTCTCTTTACAAAAAAGAAGCTTGAAGCTTTTTTTACAAAATTCTGCAAAATTTGTGTTTCCAAAAAAGAGCTAAAGCTTTTTTGCGAAATGACTGATTTTACAAAAAGTCTGCAACTTTATACTTATATTAACATCTCGTCCGGTTTCGACAGTAAATATCTTTCACAATATTAACAATGAAGAACGACCAAACAAACGAATGAAATATTCATGTGAAAAATTAACAATATAGTAAAAAAGAATACTGTAAAAAGGCAAGTTTTCTTATCGCAGTTGTATTCTCGAAAGACCTAGAAATATTATATACATATATATTAACTGTAGATTTATGTGTATATATATATATATATATATATAAATTTAGTAATAATAAAAAAAAAATATATATATATATAAATATTTAGTAATAATAAAATATATATATTATTATTAAATTTATATGTATAAATTCATATATATATATATAAATTTAGTAATAATAAATGTTATTATTATTAAGTTTATATGTATATAAATTTATATATATAAATTTAATAATAATTATTTATATATATATATAATATATGGAGACGCAGCCTTTCGTTAACTTTTGTCGATTAAATTACAAATTATATGCTATTAATGCGATAATAATATAATAAAAATGCAAGATAATTTGATACTACAAAATAATAATTTGATAATACACATGACGTATCTTGATATCACAATTAAAAAACTGAATTACATATAAATGCAGTCAATTCGTAATTAAAAAAAAAAAAAAAAAAAAAAAAAAAAAAAAAAAAAAAAAGGGAGTATTCTCTCTTTGAGTCGATATTTTTCTGATTCACTGCCTTAGATTCATACCTATCTTACGATGATGTACAATTTTTTTTATACAGATGTGAGGCTGTGTAATAAAAATTACGCTTAAAGTATGTATTTACAACGTATCGCGCGAGAAGATCATTTTTCCCTCTATACATTGAAAACTATGAAAATGTAAATAGTAGGCACAGATGGTATTATTATTATATAGGTAACTTATATGAATAATATTTCCTCTATATCAGTCTAAAAATCTTGCCTCGTTGCTTTCGAGTTATTGAAACATTATAGACCATTATAATAAATCATGTAATATAAAAATTCTATATTACATGTTTATATAATTTAACATATATATATATATATATATATATATATCCTAATTAAGCCATGATTATTTTCCACATCTCAAGTTAACATTCAATCTGCACTGCGACATGTGATTTTATCTCTCTGGAAAACTTTAATATATGCATATATAAATTTTCAGTTAAAAATGACTGAAAAGTTGGAAGGAAGATTCATTGCTAAAATTTTCGGTCTTTCTATAATAAAATACATATTTTTAAAAAATAATAAAATAATAAAAATTTTATCCTACAATAAAAACGGTAAAAAAAAGTCCTGGCAGATGGAAAGAGTTTTTTTCCCTCTCTCCTTCTCTCGCATATTATTGCTATAAGTTTTATTGCATCGAATTCTCGATCCCTGCTTAGGCAATCGCGATTTAATAATAATATCGATCGACGAATACTGAGACGCGAAATAAAAAGAGGGAAATACTAGAAAAATATAAAAGATGAAGACTCCTAGCTCCCCATCAATCACCTTGGAATTGTGATCAAACTATACTTTTCCCTTTATAATCAATAATCAGCTATAAAATGACTGTGATATGAGTATTTTATTGTGATTGACTGTCGAGGAAAAAGAATAGTTTTCGATATACAGAGTGTATACTCAAATCTTAGAAAAAAATTCCCTGAGGATATTCCATGATTTTCCCACAATTTTTTAACATAAAGTATTTTTTTAATATATTATATTATAATAAAATTATATTATAATAAAATATATTTTAATATATACTTTATATAAAACTATATTTAAAAATCAATTTTTAAAAAATTTCGAATTCAAATCAAATTCCATGGTAATTCCAGGATTTTTCAAGGTAGAACAAAATTCCCTGAGAATTCCAGGGAGTATACACCCTGGAGCTACTTTAAACGTGTTAATAAAATCATGGAAATAATCCAAGAATTGTCTCGCCTCTGACGTCACAATCTAACTAATTCATCTGGTCGCGGCGAGGAGCCAGGAGCCTTGCAAAACGCGCTTTCTATTTCCGTCTCTTCTACGTCGAGACCACCTCCTCGTCTCAAGGCACTGGCGACGGCGGCGGCGGCAGCGGGCTAAAATACGTGGACGACCTTGAACTAGGGGACGGCGGACAGCTCATCGCCGCGTCGCTGTGGTAGACGGAGCGCGGAGTAGGCGGCGGCGGAAAGGGCTCGCTCTCGTAGCGGTAGCGCGCCGGGTAGTTGCTGTCCGACTCGTCGCAGACGTCGGTGCTGCACGGAGTCGGCGGCGGCGGCTGATTGATGCTCCTGTAGTGGCGGTAAGGCTTGTAGCGGGACGCGTTGCTGCTCGAACACCGGGTCGAGCTGGCGATCGTCGCCGGACTCGGCGGCGGGTTCAGCGTCTCCTGGGGGTACCCACCCGCGGAGCTGCCCCTGGTGGAGCTCGACGCGCCTGGAACGAGAGTCGTCTTGTTATAGGAAAGAGCTCTCCCGAAGACGCCGGAAGAGGAAGCTGAAGATGCGTTTACCTGTGATGTGGCTGCGGTCGTAACTGGAGCCGAGGCTGCTCCCGTTCAGCATGGACATCCTCACGGCTTCCATCTCTGCTTTCAGGACTCCTACTCCTCCGTCCTTCCTGTTTTTCTGCGAAGCGAAAATCGGCTTCGCCGCTCGGTTGTTGTTCGGCTTCGGCGACAGCGGATCTCCCGCAGAATCGTGCAATATGTCAGGCAAACCTTCATTTCCGATGAACCTGATCATGAAAATAATCATGTATACAATAATTATAAATTTAATTTATAATGCATACTAAATATAAATATACAAGGTATATATACAATATATATACATATATATATAATTAAATTTTTTTGTAATATATAATTTTCTTTATATATATAATCCGAATATTATATATTATATTAAAATATATTTATAGATAATTATAGAATATTTATAGATAATATATATATTATAATATATAATCTTATATAATATATAATATTATATAATATATAATATTAATAGGTAATATATATATTATATTAATATATAATATTATAATATATAATATTTATAATATTTATAGATAATACATATACATTATCTATAATATATATATATATATATTATATTAATATATAATATTATAATATATAATATTTAAAATATTTATAGATAATATATATATTATATTAAAATATATTTATAGAGAGATTTTCAGATGCAGTCCTAAATCACCTTCTGCGACAGTAGTAGTAGCTGAGGACAATCGCGGCGGCCACGACGACTACCACTAGAATGATAATGACGTAAGTCATCTTGCCGGACTCGCCGAAGATTCTAGACCCGTCCTGACGGTGGGCGCAAGCCGGCGCCAGCTCGTCACTGCCGTCGGCGCAGTCCTCCCAGCCGTCGCATACGGTCGTCCCGGAAATGCAGACCCTGTTTCCGATGCATTGAAACTGTCCGGGCTGACAGCAGTGCGCCTCGTCTGAGCCATCCGAGCATTGCGGCGTCCCGTCGCACACCAAAGATAACTCTGTAGAACACGAAATTTATAAATTTATTTTATTATTCATTCATTGTTTATTCATTTTCTTTATTTTTTATCTACTTCATTCGTCCATTTATTTCGGAGAAAGGGATTTTATTTTATTTTCACAAGGGGAGAGAAAGGGAGATAAATTATTAGGGAGGGGAGGGAGAGAAAGGGAGGGAGGGAAAAAGATAAGGAGAGAAAGGCAGAATTTAGAGGGAGGAATAATAATTTAGAGAGACATTTTTTAAAATTTTATTTTATTTCATTTTTTTTTATAAAGTATATAAATGGATTAAATTATTATTATTTTATTTTTTTTTTTTTTTAATTCTTTTTTGTATCTTTATATTATTTTATATTTATAATGAATTTATTATATTATATATATATATATATATATATATATATATATATATATATATATATGTATATATGTATATTTACCGATGCAGCGATTTTGACATCTGAACTGTTCGGGGGTGCATATAGGACAGCCCAGCTCGTCGCTGCCGTCGAGACAGTCGGTCTGGCCGTCGCACTTCCAGAGCACCGGGATGCAGTCCTTGCCAATGGCCGAGCTGGGCGCGGCGCACGTGAAGTGTCCGTGTCCGCAGGCGGGGGCCGCGCGACATGTACGCCCGTCGTCGGACAAGACCAGGGACTTCGGGCAGGAGCAACGCGACGACACCGAGGCGCCGTCGTCGCCGCCCCCGCCGGTGATGATCGTGGTAGTGGTGCCGATGCAGAAATGCGAGCAGCCGCCGTAGTCGTTGAACGGGCTGCACACGTGCGTCTCCATCAGCGAGTCCTCGGGCCTGCTGACCACGATGATGTCCGTGAGCGCGCGACTCGTCGACATCAGCGCGCTCTGCTTGCCACTCGAGCCAGATGTCTTGTCGGCCCGCTGGACAGTCTGTCATCGTTCATTAGTTAGAAATTGATGGGAACATTGTCTTACAAGCGGATTCAAATTGGTTTGCATGGTCAAAAAATTAATAGTTTAGAAGATATTTTATATATACTTGATTCAATTTAAATATCAATGACCTTCAAATAACCTTCAAACCAAAAAATAAATAATTTAGAAGATATTTTGTCACTTTTATATAATTTACTTAATGAAATTTGCGATGCGTGTTTTTTTACATTTAATTTCAATTTCAATTTTGTATGTATTATCTCTACACGGATGGTTTATTAGATATTTTGTATTTGATTCAATTTAAACAATATAAATGACCTTAAAAAGCGTCCCTTAGAAAAGTCGAGAGCGCCCTCTTCTGTCCCTCTTCAAATCAGACAATTTTCGTAGTACAATGAAAAATGAGTTTTTGGGAGTGATCGATTAAACCGGGACACCTTGTAGATTAAACTTTCATACTAAAAATAATCAAATACGATCGCTCACCTGCAATTCGCGATCATACCAGTAGAGGTAGTCGAAGAGCACAGCCAGATACACCGGCGGATTCTGTTGCGTGGCCACCAGGACTCTGTGATTGGCGCCGTTGAAGTCGGCGCACTCGATCTGATTGACGTGAGCCCAGTAGACGACGTTAGTCGCGGCGTCGACGGTCAGGGCGGTCGGCTGTTCCGTCAGCTCGCTGAAGATCGTGTGGCGCTCCTTGCCGTCCATCTTGCTGCGCATTATCCGCATCTTCTTGCCCACGTCCGTCCAAAAGAGCAGTCGCCGCCGAGAGTGAAGCGCGATGTGCCGCGGTTTCTCACCCTCGCCCTTCACCACGACCCCAAGGCCGAGCCGTTGTCCAGTCGGGTCACATTGATCGCGTCGTACTGGCTGCACGTCCAGAAGAGCAGCCTGCCGAGCGGATCCAGGGCGAGATCATACGGCAAGCCGCCCCCGGCGATGACGATCCTGCTGTTGTGCTGCGGCTGCGTGCGGTTCTCCAGGGCGCGCCGGATCGACATGGTGCGACCGTCGATCCAGTAGACGTGCTGGGTCACCGGGTCGAACTCGATCGCCCGGGTGTTCTTCAGACCCGGCACCCGCAGCATCACGTCCGCGCAGTCGTCCTGATCGGGCAGGTAACGCGCGATCGCGTTCCGCAGACTGTAGATCATGTACTGTCGAGGCGCCACGCACGTCCGATTGTCCGGAGAGAGCGCGTAATGCGTGGGACAAACGCATTTGTGCGCGACGGAGGCGCCGCCGTTCGGTCCAGGTAGAGCGATGCAAAGATGACTGCAATTGCCGTTCGCAACCGCGCATGGATTCCAGCCGGTCTGCCTGGACTCGTGGAAGACCTTCAGATCCGTCACGGACTCCAGTTTGTCGTGGATTCTGGTTCGATTCGCCCCGGTAAGCTTATCCGCTCGCTCGATCACGTCGGTATTCCAATCTGTCCAGTAGATGTAATCCTGATATTGCGTGATACTGAAGGGATAGCCCATGTTGCTCGAGATAATCACTTCTCTTTTACGTGTCGAGAGATCGTAACAGTCGATCGCAGGCGTCGAGACTTCGGCCCAATACAGTTTGCGCGCGACATGGTCCAGGGTCAGACCATTCGCTCGTCCGATGTTTGAGATAGTCATCTGTCGTTGCGTGCCGTCCAATAAAGCTCTCTCTATGCTGCCGAGATTGCCCCACTCGGCCCAGTACATGTGACTGCAGATTAAAAAAATAATAAATAAGTGTCAAGCTACTAGAACATCTATAGAGATCTATGGAGATCCATAGAGACTTGTAAGTGTCTATAGATCTCTATGTAGAAGAGTTTAGAAACCTATTGGACCTGTAAATCTCTATATATCTCTACAACTCTCCTAGGAAGAAACTATAGAGAGATATAAAGAACTATAAAGAGCTACAGAGATCTTATAAAGATTCATAGAGACTTGTAGATCTCTATAAGTCCCTATGTAGAAGAGTTATAAAGACCTATAGAGACCTATTGGACCTGTAAATCTCTATATATCTCTACAACTCTCCTAGAAGAAAACTATAGAGAGATATAAAGAGTCGTATATTCAGCCGAAAAGTCGATAAAAAATAACACACTATAATGGAGATCGAGGCGAAAAATAAAAATATAATTGAACATTAATTATTTCCGAGCACCGAAATTAATACGAAGAACATGGACATATTAGTATATTTTACATTGCTAACAAGACAACTATAGCTTTAAGATGAAATTTATAGACTGTTATTATATGTAATTGTATTGAATTTAGCGATTGAGAAGTCACAAGTAAGTGACGAAACGTCTTGCACAAATTTTTGTAAATTTTATATTTAAATACAGTATTTTTACATAGTCATCCATATTTGCTCGTGTAAAAGCCTTTTCCTATTGTATTAATAGATATAAAAAACTATAGAGACCCATAAAGATTCATAGAGACTTGTAGATCTCTATATATCTCTACATAGAAGAATTTATAGAGACCTATTAAACCTGTAGGCCTCTATGTATTTCAACTCTCTTAGGAGAAAGCTATAGAGAGCTATAAAGCTCTATCAAGTCGTGTAAAAACATCCAAGAAACAATAGGGATAATATAGACGCAAAACTCACCCTTTCTGAGGATCCAGAGCCAGAGACTTGGGCTCGAAAAGGTTTTGCCACACAAGTACCTTTCTGCTGCCACCTTCCAGTCTGACCATCTCTATCCTACGCATGTTGGTGTCGCTCCAGTAAAGATTGTGCGCGATCCAATCCAACGCGAGACCCTCCGGCGATTCTAAGCCGAGATCGACCACTCTTTCCATACCCGATCCGTTCATAAAGGCACGTGTGATGGCTTTTATTTTCACATCCGTCCAATAAATGCGATTCTCGAGTAAATCGAAGTCCAAGGCGCTACAAAAACAAGTGATTTAACATGCTTTATTTATCATTTTTATTCAAAGTATTCAATTTATGTTTCAGCTGCACCAACCTGGCGTCTTTGACCCCAGTGACGGGTATGACATTATCATTATTGGTATTCTCGATGCTGATACGGCCGAGGTTTTCCCTCCTGGCGAACAGCAGAAAAGCATCCGGAACGACGCACGTACGTTTGTCTTTGGTCAACTCGTAACCGATCTGGCAGGCGCAGACGTACCTGCAAATTTGCAATTTCATATTAAGACTTTCAGAAGATTTAATCATTACACACCTAACATCATTTACATCTTCCGTTTTTTTTTTTTTGCGTTATTAAATCTTTTTCTCTCGACCAGACGATGATGAAGGATGATCTCGTCAAGATCTTTTTCATACGACCCTATTTCTAACACCTACGTACTTATTGAAAGGTTTGTTGAGACAGAGGTGGCTGCAACCCCCGTTGTCACGAGCGCACGGCGATTTGCTGGTGCTCATTTGACCGAGATGAATAGCCTTGAGCCCCATGACGTTAGGTACCTGGTCAATGATGACCTCTCGGTCGCCGCCGGTGAGCTTATGCGCCCGATCGATGCTGCGTCGCTGCCAATCGGTCCAGTACAGATAATCACCCAGGAGACTCAGACCGAACAGGTGCGGGAGATTCTCGGTGATGATCTCGCGGCGATCGGTACCGTCCATGTTGGACACCTCGATCTTGTCGGTCTTGGCGTCGCACCAGTAGATCTTACGGCGCTCCAGGTCCAGGGCGATGCCGTTCGGCCAGACGATGTCCTTGGTGATAATCGCTACGCGCTCGGTGCCATCCAAGTTACTGCGCTCGATCTTGGGTCGCTTCTCGTTCCAGTCGGTCCAGAACATCAGGCCTTGCTCGGGCGCAACCGCGATCGCCCGCGGCTCAATCAGATCCTCGTTCACCAGAACGCGCCGATTGATGCCGTTCAGGCGCGCCACTTCGATCCGATCTGTCCCGGTATCGGTCCAGTACAGATTCCGGGCGATCCAGTCTATCGCGACGCCATCTGGATTCACCACCTGAGAAATTGGAAGAAGTAATCGTGGAGACGAGAATGTAAGAATGAAAAAAGCTATTTCTAAAAAAAAAAAAAAAGTTTAACGCCACAAATAGCAAACTGACGTCATTTTGACGTCTAATGACATCATCACTCTCAAAATAACGTCATTTTGATGTTTAACGACGTCATTCAACATAAAAATAACGTTAATCGCCGTCTAATGACGTCATTTTGACGTCAAAATGACGTGCATTTGCTATTTGGAGTAGAAGTTGCTATTTTTACTACACACCTCCGCAACAATCACGTCTTCCTGACCAGTCCCGTCCAGATAGGCGCGTCTGATGGCGCAAGCCTGCTCGTCGGTCCAGTACAGCATCTTGTCGACCGGGTCGAAGTCGATCGCGATCGCGTGCTTGATGCCGATGAGCGGCAGGACGAAGTACGTGTAATCGGGTGAATCCAGGGATATTCGGCAGATCTCGTTTCGCTGAACGATCAGCAGCAGCTCGTGCGGTCCTTTGGCGCACGTGAAACGGTCCAGCAACCTGACGCCAGTGGGACAAGCGCAAGTGTAACCCTGCGCTCCCTGGCTCAACAAGCATAGGTGGGAACAATTTCCGTTGTTCACCTTGCAAGGATTTACACTGGGGGGCTGCCTTTTCGGGTCCCAGACTTCAATATCGCCTAAAAGAGAATTAAATAATTATTGAATGTTGTACGAGAGATATATTTATTGTATAAAATCTAATGATTTGTTTTCTCAATATACATTCTGTTCTTAGTAGAATCTTTTCTATTACACTGTTCAACAAAAAAAATTAACCAGAACGAGAATATGAAGAATGAACACAAATCTAGTTTCCAAATTACTTCATTGGATCACAATTTTGAGAAATTTTTAATTAACGTTGCAAGCTATAATATATGACATGCTAGAGAAGTTTTATTGCAATCAAAATTAGGTATATTGTTAGGACTTTCAACCCTCAAAAGAAATTTTTGTAATCAATAAAACATCCATAGTTAAATGGGATGTATTACGAAAGATAGCTGTGATTTCAATTAAATAAATTTCAATTTTGTTTATTTAATCTTATTTTTTTTTAAATCACTAAAACAAATCCAGTGTCAAAATTGTCAACTTCAAAATGATGGACTCAATATGGCAGATTTATATTTAAAAAAGAGCATTTTTTACTTTTGACATCCCTCATATCGAATACCATTTTAAATTTGACAATTTTAACATTAAATTTGTATTGAATAATCTATAAAAATCCTTAAAAATTATTTAATAAATGGTCAATGACTTAATTGTAAGTCACAGCTAACTTCTACAGCATAGCTCATATTTAACCATCAATCCTTTATATATAATATGTATTATACATTAAATATATATTATAATAATCAAATTCCTTTTGAGGATTAAAAATCCTAACTACTTTATTTTGATTGCAATAAAACTTCTCCATCACGTCACATATAGTTATAATATGAAAAAGTTCATGAAACTAGACCTTTTTTGCATTTTATTTAAAAATTTCTCACAATTGTGACGTAATGGAGCAATCAAATTGATCGCTTTTCCTATCATATCACCTAACATTGTCCAAAAGGAATCTTTTAACATTCTTAAAAAAATCCTTGCTCGGTACTAGGGTGTATACTCGAATCTTAAAAATAAATTCCCTGAGAATTCCATGATTTTCCAGGTACTTTTGTTCAAAATTCCAGGTAAAATTAAAGTATTAAAAATAATATACAGAATACAATTTTGAAATAAGTTTACTGAAATATAAAAGAAAAATATTTCTATATAAAACTTATATATTGTAAAAAAAATCAATAAAATCATGTAAGATTTAATAATATCGCATAAAATATATTTCTTATAAAATAATGTTGTCTTGTGTTTTTAAACTACTAAAAATATCAAAGGGGCAATTTTTTAAAAATTCCCCGAGCTTACACCTAATTTCATGATTAATTCCAGATTTTTCCAGAGAGTATACACCCTGTATATTACAGATAAAAGTACCAGGTATATATTCGCCGTGAAACAACTCGCGCGGATGCGCCTGCGACTGGCGCATGTCGATGGTGTGGATGCACCAGGTCTTCCAGTCAGTCCAATAGAGCCGATCCTCATAAAACGTGATGGCGAACGGATACTCCAGACCCTTGCCAACTATCGTGCGCCTATTCCGCCCGTTGTAATCCATCACGGCGATAAAGCACAGTTTGCCGTCCACCCAGTAGATGAGCTCGCGCTCGTAATCCACCGTCAGACCGTTCGGCCAGTATATGTTCTCGTGGACGATGACCTCGCGCGTGTTAGGATCCCCGTCCATGCTGGCGCGCTCGATTTTCGGCACGTCACCCCAATCGGTCCAGAAGAGGAGACCCCGCATTGGGGCCAAGGCGATCGCCCGCGGCTGATAGATGTCCGTCCAGAAGAGGACCTTCCTGTGGTGATCGTCCAGGCTGATCACCTCCACCAGATTCTTCTCCCGGTCTGTCCAGTACAGCTTGCCTGTGATCCAGTCGCAAGCCAGGCCGTCCGGTGAGATCAAATTGGAGTTCACTATTGTCATCTTCTCGCCTGTGTGCGTGCCGTTGGAGCGGGCGCATTGTATCATCTCCAGACCACTGTCGGACCAGCAGACCAGTTCGCGCTCGTAGTAAAAATCGAGCGCCGCGACGTCCGACAGCTCCTTGATGACGATATTGACCTTGTTGTTGCGGGACACATTGGCCATTCTGAGATCCTTCTGCGTGGCAAACAGAAGAATGGACGAACCTAGAAAAAACAACAATTAGTCCAAGGTGTTTTGAAATATTGTTATAAAGAGAGATACAAGTCGAATAATAAATTGACAGCGCACTAATAATTATAATACAATGGTATGTAACAAGTTTTATTATAAAAGAAACAGGGTTGGGAAAGTTACTTTGTAAAAATAACTAGTTACAGTTACAGTTATTTCATTGAAAAAGTAATTAGTTACAGTTACAAGTTACCGATTTTAAAAAATAACTCGTTACAGTTACAGTTACTCAAAAAGTAACGAGTTGTTACCTTTTAACAATAATTATACATTATTTTAAATATAAGGAGCTTACATTTTATGCACAATTACAGTCAAGTATTTAAAAAAATTCTTTAATGTAATAATTGATTGCTTGCGACTTTGCGATTACTATCAATGTATGAACCCAAGGAGAACAGAAAAGTCAAAATGATGTTAATTTGATGTTAAATTGACATAATTTTGACTTCTCCTTGGGGAATGACCTTTATATACAACAGTAACATGAGTTAGTAAGTTACTAAATAGTAATTGCAAAGTCACAAGCAAATCGACCAATTATTACATTTAAAAATTCTTTTAAATACTTGACTGTGATTGATCGATATTAATTATGTGTTATATTATTTTATGTACAATAAATGTATATGAGAATTGTAGGTAAAAGATTAAATCATATAAAGATCCATATGTAACCGTTATCAGAATTTAATAACAATATAACGGCTACCATACTTGAACAATAAGTAACTCATAAAGTAACTGTTAAAATAGTTACTAGTTATTAAAAAATGTAACTAAGTTACAGTTACAGTTACAGATGAGAAAAGTAACGAAGTTAAGTTATAGTTACCGAAAAAAAGTAACTGTAACTGTAACTTCGTTACAAATAACTCATTACTTCCCAACCCTGAAAAGAAATATATATAATATGTAGTATTGCATATTATATGTCTGTATAGTATTGTAAAAGCCTGTTATATATATATATAATATATATATAACAAAAAAAATATATATGTAACAAAAAAAGAAAACCAAAAATATAAAAAATTTTTTAAATGCTAAATTTAAAAAAAATTAAATGGTATAAATAATATATTAAATACGTATTAAATATTAAATAGTATAAGAAATATTGTAATTATAATTAGTTGAAATACTGGAATATTAGTATATAAATATTATAACATTAATATATAAAATACTATAAACAGTACATAAAATACTTTAATATTAGTATCTAAAATATCATATATTAATATAAAAAATGCTATAACTACATTAATAATATTATATACTGTAATAATTGTATAAAATACTAGTATGTAAAACAAAAAAAGAAGAAAACTAAAAATATTTAAAAAATGCTGATTTCTAAAAAAAAGTAGGAAAAAAAAGAGAAAGTGAAGTCTGACGTGCGCAATAAATGATACGTACCATGGCTATTAGAAGATATTATGCCGCAGCACAGAATGTAAACTACAACAAACAAATCGCTCCACCCGACAATGGCACGGCGAGCCATCCTAGACGAGTAATCAGTGTTCACGTAGGTGAATCCGCACGAAGTATTTCGCGATCTCAGGACGTAGCGCGGTCCTCGCCACGTATCATCTCGTCGTCGCGTCAACGAGGACGAAGAATGCAGACGCGTCTCGAGATAACGCTACGTCCACCCTCGACGCGTCCTTTCCAGCCATTCACGTACAACAACGATAAACCAAACAATCGCACGCCATACCGTGTGACGCGCTCCTCCGACCATACAATGTTGCAGTAACATAGAGAGTGAAGCCGATGATCCATATAACAAAGTTCCTAGAAAGTCTCTAATTTATTTTATACTAGAATATAATATATAAATATAATATATATAATATAATTATATATTTATTTTTAGTTTAATATATATTATACTTTATATATTATACATTATATTAAACATTATTAAGAGTTTAACAAATTAAGAATTATACATTATATTATATATTATATATTATATTATATTATATATATTATATTATATATTATATTATATATTATATTATATATTATAGTATGTCACGTCCGGCCATATAAATTTTTTCGATTTCTTAAAGAATAAAATTCTAAATTCATCAAGGGCCGTTCGAAAAGCGCGCCAATGCCGGCCATGACTTCTAACTCCGCCTAAAAACTAAGCGCGGCGCTTCGTAGCGTCTAGGGACCTCCCACCACGGCGAGAATCCCTATCCTAGAGAGTTTCCCCACTCTCGGCCGCCGAAACGAAGGACCTCAGCCTCAGAGCAGTCCCGAATTTCGGCAGTTCATCTCGCGACTCTAAGTAGTACACTTCTTAGTCCTAATTCTAAAATTTATTCTAACTCTAGAAAAATCTAAATACTACTTTTTATCAATATAAGAATAAACCAGTGTGTTCTGTGTAACAAGTGTTCAATAAATTTCTGATAAATTCCACGAAATCTATTTGTGACAAAAACGCGTTAGTTAGCAACAAGTTCTCAAAGCATTGAATTCGAATCCGGAACAAATTCGAACTGTGCTTAGAGCGGACCACCGCTTATCACAGCTAGAATTCTCTTTACGCGCCGAAATAAGGAATCGATAGTGAGATCCGCCGCACATCGATCTTCCCTATTAACGCAATTGTTCCGAGAATGTCTCCGATTCTAATTCATTATGCCTAAAACGCGACGCGCGAAAAGAAAAACCAACTTCGTAATAAATTAAATCGAATTTATCGTGAATCGGTAACCGAACAATACATTCAATTACTCGGTGTAGAGTACCAGGCCGGCCCTGAGAATACGAAAAACTTTTTAACACCAAAAATAACACAAACATTAATAACAACAACAAGCTCCTGCCGTGGAAATCAGTACCGATAACTTTCCTGCCACGACGCATGCCGTTACTGAACATCCCGGAGGACGATCCTTGCTTTACTCGCTACTTACAAAAACGAGCTGACGCAATCAAGAAAATATTATTAAAGGTAAGTGAAATCCGTGTTAATTTAAAAAATTACGCATCTTAAATAAATTTAGAGGCGCCACCGCCACGTGGAAAGGAACATTCGAGAAAATCTCTTACGCATTTTTTCTTCTTTTTCTTCTTTTAGCGTCCACTACGGAAGTCATAAAAAAGGGTCGGCCATAAAAATGAAAAGGTCGGTCATAAAAATAAACAAGGTCGGTCAAAGGAAAAGAGGTCGGTTGTAAAAATTAGGATCGACCAGCACGTGCGCTGCAGCCCAGAAACTTCTAATACGAAAACGCAAAAGAATAAAATATTCTAATTTTCTAAAATCTAAAGAAGTAACGGCGCGATTCTTTTTCTTTTACGACATAATAATTATTTAAATAAATAATAACTAACTTAAGGGTTTTCACGTGTCGATGTGCCCACTTCCGCCTAGAGGTATATATTATATATTATATTATATTATAAATTATATATTATATATATTATATTAAATAATTCTATATTATATATTATATTATATTATATATGGTTATATTATTATAATTTTCTTATATATTATATATATATTAATGATATTATATTATACATCATATTAATATATAATATAATATATAATTATAACAATATAATGTATAATATGTAATATATAATATAATATATAATACATAATATATAATATAATTATATTTTATTTCATAAAAATCTGCATTTGCGCTGCGCATGCGCGAAGATTCGCTCGACGTCCTGATTGGCTGTCGCCCAGGGAATTCCTGGGGTCCGAAGCTCGGCGACTTCAGTGCGCTCGCGCGGAGATCCCATTCACGATGACCAGCTGCTAGCTGTCTGCTGTTATCGCGTCTTGCCTATCGACAAGGATGTGTAGTTGCGAGCTTACGTGAGATCGATTCTTCCAGGACGACGTCGAAGGCGAGAGCGAGGGTGCCGCGAGGGCACGCGCGGAACAGCTGATCGGGGAGACTCGGATCCCTTACGTCGCCGTCTTTTCGTGAGTCTCGAGTCTTTGACAGGTCCGTCTTGTCGTCATGGCGGGTTTCGTCCTCCGGGTGAAGACCAAATCGGGTCAGAAGATCGTCAACGGCCTCGCGCCCCAGGACAAAGTGTCCCAGCTGAAGGCGAAGCTGGCCGAGCTCACCGGGATTCCTGTCGCCGCTCTCCACGTTCTCGTTGGATTCCCGCCGAAACCCGTCGACCTGGACGCGCCCGACGTCACCATCGAGCGCGTCGGCATCATCTCCGGGGACACCCTCATCGTCGAGGAGAAACAGGTTTGTGCAACGATTTCGAATCTTCTCGGAGAGAAAAGTAAAACCAGGTGTTATGTAATTCATAATTGCGTTAGATTAATTTTTTTGGTGATCTGTGAAGTTGAATTCATATTTTTTTTGCAAATAAATATTCTTTCAAGTAAATATGTGTAAAAAAATTTGGCTTGTTATCTGTTTTTTAAAATTGAAAATAGGAAGTTAAACTTGTAAGACTCGCAACCTGGGAATTGTTTATTTTAATTATTTATTTGCAATTATTAATTTTATTTATATTTATATTTTATTATATTTATATTATATCATATTTATATTATATTTATATTTTAATTTTATTCATAATTATTTTAATCCTATTTTTTACTTAAGCTTTAATGCGTAACAAATTAATTTGTCATTCTGAGAGATTTTACACATTAATTATTTTACTCGATGTCAAAAGTTGAAAGGATTGTCTTATATAAACATTATGCATTACAGATCGTGTTCAATAGACCCAACGATTATGGCCGTTCACACATTGTTGACCAGGAGAGCTTTGCCAATGTTCCTGGTGTTCTTATGAGGAAGGTTGTGCCTGCAGACAACTCTTGTCTTTTCACCAGTGTCGGTTATGTTCTAAATGGTGAGAAAGGTAAAAGATATATTTAGAATGTAAAGCGAGTCATCCGTAAGAAAATATTTGAGTATCTTTTTTCCAGTATGAAGAAATAAATATAATTTGTGTATAATTTTATAAGAAGCAAGTATTAAGTTATTAAGAACTGCATGAATTAAACATACAAATAGCTAAAAATAGTCTAGGAAAAATTATACAAAAATAATTTTGAGATTATGACAGATTTGTGAGAGAAAATATATATTTGCTAATTCATAAAGTTACCAGAAATCATAATAACAGCTGTTTAATGCTTCTTCAGGGAAAGTCGATACCAGTTGCGCCAGTTTCATGAGGGAGATCATAGCAAACGCGGTGGCTGCGGACTCGGATGAATATTCGGAAGCGTTTCTGGGGAGACCCAATGCCGAATATTGCAAGTGGATCCTTAAAGCCGATTCTTGGGGCGGCGCCATCGAATTATCGATTCTATCCAAGTTTTACGGCTTGGAGATAGCGGTGATCGACAGCATTAACGCAATCATCAATAGATTCGGCGAGGATCAGCATTATGCTCAGCGGGTTTTTCCTCATATTCGACGGCATCCATTACGATCCGCTCTACCTGGAGCCTCTCGACGTAATTATTATCAATAATTGATAAATCTTCTCTTAGATTTTATGAAAATCTAGGATTGAATGATTTTTCTTTCAATAACAATTTATTATTTTCATTTCAATACAATTATTATTGAAATTTATCAGATATTTTTATTTCAATATAATTATTATATATATATATATATATATATAAAATTAATATTTTTTTTTTAAATATCATGCAAAAAATCTTTCAATCTCTAAAAAAATGAGTGATTTTAATATATTTTTTTTATTTCAATATAATACTTTTTTCCATATCTTGTAATAAGATCTTTCAATCTTCAGATGAGTGATTTTTCTTTCAATATATTATTTTTTTTATTCCAATATAATACTTTTTTTAATATCTTGTAATAAGATCTTTAAACCTTCAGATGAGCGATTTTTCTTTCAATATATTTATGTTTCAATATAATTATTAAAATTATTATTTAAATTAAATATTCTTCTCAATATATTTTTTTTAATATCTTGTAATAAGATTTTTCAAAATCTTTAGCGATTTTTCTTTCAATATATTAATTTTTTATTTCAATATAATTATTAAAATTAATTAATATTGTTTTTATTTTAATATAATTATATTTCTTTTTTTTCCAAATATTATGTAGAAAACTTTAGAATTAATTCTGAATTGATAGAAATGTTTATACTTTTTTCTCTTCACTAGGGTGGCAGCATCCAAACGATCTTTCCTACCGAAGATGAGAGGATATTACGGGAAGCCGCCCAGCTCGCGAGAGAGGCGAGATCAAGTCGTCAGTTCACGGACGTGCAAAAGTTTCGGCTGATGTGCATCGATTGCAAGATCACCTTGAACGGGCAAGCGGCTGCGCAGCAACACGCCAAGGACACCGGTCACACGAATTTTGGCGAAGTGATGGCGTAGCCTCGCATCGACAGCCCACAACACTATTTTAGGTCACTCTTCGGTGACTATCCTTGACCCTAAACAGTATACAACAATAGTCTCTTCTTCGATTCGGAGATGCCCTCCGGATGTGTTCTGGGTTCATTCATTTATTCACATTATGCATATTTACGCTACTGCAACACCTTATATAATATAAGTACTTATTACTACAGATTCTTTCTACTGCAAAAATCGAATATTTCGTGCGTATCTGGAAAGGATAGGAGGGAGGGAGAGAAAAGGAAAGAGAAGCATGAGTGATATTTTTATAAATTAAAGTGATATGTAAATTATCCAATTATATATGCTAGGAAATAATTCGTTAATTTCTAGTAATTATATATTTTTTAAGTAATTGTATTTACATTTTTTATTGATATATACATATATATTTATATGTATATATCAATATATATATATATATATATATATATATACATATATACATATATATATATATATATATATATATATATATATATATATATATTTTAAGACTGTTTGTGCTCATAATATATTGTTTGGCTGTAGTGCAATTTTGTATAAATATCTGGGATATTTTATACTGTTTAGGATTAATGAAATGTCGTTTTATAGCTAGATGCGATGGCAGCATGTTTTCTACTTCGAGCAAAGCGCAATTTACGAAATATAGCAACATTATCATTAGAATAAAAATCTTTTGCGGTGCACTCTCTATTGAGGATTGTTAATGTGCATAATATACAAGTTATTGATTTTGACTAAATATCGTTTTAACAATTTTTTAATTCCCAGATCGTTTGTAAGATGCATACATACGAAGATATTGTTTTAAATCTTAATGTCATGTAAATTTCTTCGATTTCTATATTCTTGCAAACGTTCAACCAGTTAACTACATTTACATTTATATATATTGTATATATATTGTAATATCCAGGGTTGGATAAGTTAATGATTTTTTTAAACTAAATTAAGTTAAAATTAGTTGCTTATAAAATTAATTTAGTTACGTAAGTTTGCATGAACAAAAAATTAACTCAATGAAAGTCAAGATTAAATTAAGTGAAGTTAAATCAAAAGTTAATTTTTAAAAAATTTTATATTAAATTAGAATTTTGTTAGTCGATTCTTTTAAAATTTATAATAACATATAACGAAGATATTTTGATTTTTATATAGAAATATATTTTTTGGTAATTACACTTATGACGAATGAACATAAAAATTAATAATACTTTAATTTAAAAATAATACGTTTATAACTTATAAAAAAAAACAATAATGGTATTCAGAGATAAAAAAATTTAATTTAGAAAAAAGTTTATAAGGTCCAAAATAACTAGTTGAAGTTAAAAATTTAAGCTAAGTAAAAAGTTGTTAACTTTATAACTTACTTTTTAAATTTTAACTAATTAACTAGTTATTAACTTTGGTAATATCCAATTCTGTACAAATCCATTATGATACTTGTCTGAATTTTTATATTGATTTATTTATTACTTAATTGTATTTATTTTTATTATTTATTATCTTTTATTATTAGTTTTATTTATTAATTTTATTATTATTTATTTTCATTCGTTCATTTTTATTTTAACAATCAATCAGTTAATTTTTTCATACTCGAATTTGTGAATAATTTTGAATTCAAATTTTCAAAACTCGTACATTTACTAAAAAAATCCCTAACATTTTTCCTAGTGAAAGAAAAATTCTCGCCATAAAAAAAAGCCTCTTACATAGAGTGGCGAACTTTCACGGCGATACCAGCGCCGCCTGGCGGGAGAAATAGGAAACCTGTCAATTCAGACGAGATAACAGTCACTAAAAATCAGTACGTTCGCGACCGTGGTGGCAGCTGGTTGGTCCGTTGATGAATTGAGGCATCCATGCCTACCGCCGCGTAAACACACACACACACACGTACACGCACTTGGCATCGCGTCGCGGAGAGACGGACACGTCACACGACACGGGCGAGCGAGAGCGTGAATACACACCCTCGGCGTGACGTTTCCACGGCGGGCCGATGTTGTCGCGGAGCCGTGCGAGATGGTAAAATGTTGTCGCTGCCGCTGGCCGCCTACCGAGACAGACATCCGTTGACAAACAGGTGAAGATGGAAGATGACGCTGACCTCAGGGAACAGTTGTTTCACAACACCGTGCGGGAGAATATAGTGAGTAATAAACCACGTTCACGAATATACATATATATATATATTTTTTTATGTGTATAATATATATGTCTACCTCGCTCTATTTCATTCTTCCCGTGCTCGTAAAATATTCGCGGAATTTTTTTGCGGTCGCGAACTTCCCTTCAGAAAAATGTCATGTGTTGCAGACGCTTATTTTACGCTCTCGGAGAAATCTTTTTTTCACAGCAAATTTTCCGAAATATATGTGTATAAAAAAATATACATTATTATAAAATAATATTAAAATTATTATTACAAAATATATATATATATATATATAAATATTGTAAATTATAAAATAATATTTAAAAATATATTTGAAAACTATATCGTATAAAATATTTTTATTATTATAAAATATATTATTATATATTTATTATTCAAATTATATACAATTCGTTGTGCAAATTACGAATTCGAGGATCAATGTCCGAAGAAATATCAATTAAGTAAAGAGAGAAAGAGGGAGGAAGAAATTTTTTTTTTACGACTCGAACTTTTCGGAGTTCGACTTTTATTCTCGCGATAATAATTATAAATTGTTCAATTACGAAATAATGTATCTTATCGCGTTCCACGAGGAGTTGATAAACGAGTTCATTTTAAGTTTTATTTCGGGAAGTCCGTTATTTGCGACGTGGATTATTGAGGCTGTCTTCTTTGTTTATTTATGCTTCACGACGTTTCGTTTCTGATTTATACGAGAAGTTGAAGCGAGAGAGAGATAATGCGCAAAATTTTTACGCGCGTGTATTTTGAATAAATTTCTCAAATGAATCGAATTGAAAAAAATGTCTCTTGAGAAAAATTTTATTTAAATATAAAAGTATTGTAATAATTTTTAATTTAATATTAAAGATAAAATGGAGTAAGATAATATGTTTTTTTAAAACGAGAGAGATAAAATTTGTCTTTCTCTCTGTTTCCTTTGCCCTTTTATATCTCTGCGAGATACAAGAGCAAGTTTTGTAAATAATAGGCTGCCAATTTTCGTCTTTAATTAAATTTTACGTCGATCTCGCGAGCAAAGAGTTTTCTAAATTGAGAATTATCTTGCAATTTGCAAATTCTTGTAGAATTTCTAATATTGCTATTATATAGATAATTATATTTATTAAATATTAAAATAACATAGTAAATATAAATATATATCTATTTTATATACATATATTGTACATATATTATTATATATTATTATATTATATATATTATAATATATATCTATATATTATATATACATATAATATATTTGATATCTAATATAGTGCATAATAATAATTTATAATACTATTGTAATAATAATTCATATATCTATAATATATATATATAGTAATATATAATAATATATAGTAATTATATAAGTATATAATATATAAAATATAGTATATATATATTTACTAGGTATATACTATATTTACTGTAATATTTATTTTATACTATATACTATAAATTTACTATAATACCTATTTTTATTATATAACTATATATTTACTATAAAAATTAAATATACTATATTATATATATATATATATATATATATATATATATATATTTGCGGCGAAAAAATGCTCTTCCGCAACGATTCGCCACGAATGAATGACGATCCGGGACACTTTGCAAATCATCGAGCAAAATATCCGGCTTTAATTCTTGGACCTTGTTTCGTTCCGGCTCGTGTCGTGTGTAAGATAATGAAATCTAATCAGAAATGCTGCTCCGGGAAGAATTTCAAACATCGCGGACGAACTTGCCTCGCGCAAGTGCATTCACCCAAAGTGAATGTTGCACATGCGTTTCGCAGACGTGGTCGTGAAAACACGTGTGCACGAATCTCAGGTCATTTTTTTCTCCTCGTCGCCGTCTTCGACGTCTTCGTTTTGCGAATTTCTCGCGACGAGGAACCGGTCGAGAGATAGAATATATGAAAGAGAAGAAAAAAGTCTTCTCCGAAGACCGCAAGCTTTAAGTTGATTAACTTTACCTGATGACAAAATTTCAAAAATTTCTATTTTATATATAGATAATTATATATATATATATATATATATATATATATATATATATATATATATAATCATATACATACAGTAAATATAAAAAATAATATAAATATAAATAACATTACTATATACATATATTAATTATTTTTTATCATATAATGATTTCTTTATATAATTATTCATATTATACTTATTTATATATTTACTATATATTATATTGTGATTGTATATTATCATTATTATTATCTAATTATTGTTGTTGTTGTTGTTATTATTGTTATTATATAATAATATTAGTATTTTATTATATATTATATTAATATTATATATTACAATAATATTTATATAATAATAATAATATATTCTTTATATAATATATTACATAATAATATATATATATATAGTAAATATAAAAATTATATAGACAAGTTTGTTTACTATATACATTATATGTAGTAGTAAAACTACTATATACATATGTACAATATTATTCTTATTATATATAGTATTAAGATATTATAATCGAGTAAGTGACTTAAAGACCGGTCACTCGAATAATTCCTACAGATAATTTGGAGATAGGAAAAAATATTTGAAGTAAAAGTTTTATGATATCGGAAGGTGACGTTTTCCTTATTGATATCACATAATTTATCCTTCACGAATTTTTATATCTATATCTAAAATTGTTGGAATTATTCGGATGGCTCCTTAAATGATTCATTCTATATTATAATAAATATAGAGATTAAAATATTCTATGAATAATTATGTAGATAATTATATCGATTGGTTTTGCGATGTTCACATCCTGTTTCACAACCTTAACCGATGATCGATTAAGGTGATCCAAAGGCTACCGGAAACCACACCTTGGGGGCGAAGCTACCGTTCTCGATTTAATTTGAATGGAAGAAACATGATATCGAGAAAAAACGACGAATTAAATTGTTGCGATTTTACCAGTTATCTTTTTTTTTATAACGAGTTCAGATGTGCAGTTACGATCGAAATTATAAATGAGAATTTAATACCGACTAATATACTTTTTCTTACCTCGTTTTTCGCGAAACTCTTTGGAAAGTCTCGTGAAAGCTTTGTCCCGCTTTATTTTTCGCGCCTCGATCTGTGTGCCAAATGATATAATCGCTTTGTTTTCGCATTTAATTACTTATTTTAACTACGAGCGAGGAATAATTAATTCTTCGAAGCGAGAAAAGGAGAAAAGGACAATTTAATTATTATATTAAAAATTCAGGGCTGGATATAATAACTATAAGTTAAAAAAGTTAATAACTTTTAACGTAGGTTAGTTAACTTTAAATGTATTTATTTTTAACTTAAACTGATTATTTTTGACCTTAAACTTATTAACTTTTTTCCTCAGTTAAATTTTTTTGTTAAGTTATATAAACGTATTATTTTTAAATTAAAGTATTATTAATTTTTATATTTATTTATTATCAATTGTAATTACCAAAAAATATATTTCTATATAAAAATATTTTTTTGTTATTTGTTATTATAAATTTAAAAAAAAATTAACAAACAAAATTCTAATTTAATATAAATAATGTTTTTAAAAATTAACTTTTGATTGAATTTTTTGTTCATGCAAACTTTTAACTTAATTAAATTAATTTTATAAGCAACTATATAATTTTAACTTAACTTGGTTTTAAAAAAATCATTAACTTACCCAATCCTGTAAAAATTATATACAGAACAGGAAAGACGCGATGAAAAAACACCGTGACGTTCTTGAATAAAATAAAATAAAAAATGTTTATTGCGGGTTAACTGGAAAACCGCAATCTTCGAGAAGAAAATGCAGGCGCACGCGAAAGATCCCGTTTGATCGGCAATAATGCGAGAAGTGCGAATAGAGAAAAATTCTCGCGGAATCGCAAAACGTAACGCTCGGTAGACTTTTCGATCGGGGTCAATGATCAAAAATGACACGAGCGATAACGGTAATCAACTATATATAAATGTATCTTTTCTTTCATCTTTTCTACCATGCACTTGAAATATCCAATATTTACGAATCAAAAATATCCTTATTTTGCAAATTTAAAAAGATACACATTTTTTCCTATAATATAAAATATAATAGTTTGTTCATTATTTTTAGTTTTTTTATATTGTTATTTTTTAATTACTTTTTTATCTGTGAGAAATCATGAATGAAAAAAATCAGAAATGGAAAATTAATTTCTAATATAATATAAAAAACTATTTAAATCGATTTTTATATAATATAATATAATATTTACATAATTTATATTAATAATATATAAAAGTAAGCTAGGTGATAATTATTTCGATCTGCTTTTTGATTGATAATTACAAAAATTAATTTTTTTAATATATATATATAATTTTTATCGAGCTTTTATAGAGCTTTTTTACTATAATATTTTCATTCGCAAATTTAAATATTATAGCAGGAAAGCTCGATAAAAATTATATATATATATCATTTTTATCGAGCTTTTATGGAGCTTTCTTGCTATAATATTTTTATTCGCAAATTTCAGGACTATATTTTTTATTTTTTATATATTTTATATATATATATGTATATATTATATATATATATATATATATATATATATATATATATATATTGTTTATTAGAAATTAAAAATAGATTATATAGACTTCTTTGTAGGTGCATTGTTCTGGCGAAAGCTCACATCTTCATCCCGCTTTCATCCATCCTATTCTCAGCTCTCGGAAAGGAAGCTTCTGCCAAACGCGACGCCGAAAATGTCACGCAGAACTCGTGTTCTATTTGTTCTATTTGTAATTATACGCGCTCCGTTTTATTACATCCGTCCCCGGGCGGATTAATACGTCAATTACAACGTATACATTGTGTTAATATAGCTGACAAAACGCGATATGCACGCTTGCAAAGTGAGAGTAAACCGGATGGATTAGTCGATGAATAAATAAAGGAACGCCAAGTGACTTCGATCCCAGAAAAAAGGGGAGAAAGGCATAAGCACATTAATAAATTACAACAATTGCAATACCACCAAGTTAATAGATCGTAGACAATAGTCATTGTTGAATAATTCGATCCACGTGTTTGCGTGGGAATCGTTTATCGCCTCATTCATCTCTCGTGCCCAAGTACGACCTCGTGTGACAACTTTGCAGATTTTTTATTTTATCGATTAAATAATTAATATGATAATGAATGTACTATATGTTGGATAAAAAGAACAAAATTTTTAAGTGTAATAATTAATAAGAAATTAATGATATATAATTTTATATATTATATAATAATATATATAAATATATTATACCATATATTATATATTTTTAATATAATATATTAATATAAATATATTAATAAAAAATATAATTTATTTATTATTTTTTGATATGTAATATATTAATAAAAATTATTATGAAAAATATATATTATAGTATATACCTATATATATATATATTTTTTTTTTAAATACATATATATAATATATATTATTATAATTTATTTTTTACTAATATATTATATTAATTGAGATGTATAATATAATATCTATTTTTATTATATATTAATATAATAATAACAATTAATATTATGTTATTATATTAATATATAAAACAACATATTACATTTTTCGATGTAAAATATGTATAGAGACGAAATCCAGAACAGCAAAAAATATTAGAAAATGTAACAACGTGCAAAAATTAATATAGTTTTTGAATAATAAAGTTTTTTAATGTTTTGGAAAAAAAGAAAAAGTAGATATACCAAAAAGATGAAGATATTAAAATTGAAAGCACTGGCGTTTCTTCTCTTCCTTCTCTTTCGGGGAAAAAAACAATGGACAATTGAGAAATCGATGTTTGTTTGTTCCACTTATTATTGTTATTAATTGTTGCGCTGATTAATCATGTCACGGATTTTATTACCGAACGATATTTAAGGAAATATCAATGACGAAGGAAAAAAAGACACAGACAAAGTTTAACTCGCACATATAAGGCTTTATTTATAGATGTGCTTTTGCATTTTTTTCTGCGTTGTAAGCATTCCTCTAATCGGCGTTAATGGTATTCAGTATTATTTACGTAACGTCACTGCAATGGTGTCTCTCAAGAATTTTATCAAGCGCGAGGTATCAATAGTAAACCAAGGATAAAAATTTTTCCGCTTTAATTTATCTTTCCATGTCGTAAAATAATTATTACTGAAAACACTGGATTACAAAATACGTGCATCTGTATAATTTGTAATCAGAAATATATCTTAACATTGAATTGCGCTTAAATAAATTATTTGTTAAAATATAAATTATATATATACGCACATATAAATTATTTTGATGTAATTTGTTTAAATATCATATAATTAAAAATATTTTTGTTATCAAGATATTTAAATAAATTATTATTAATATTTAAATAATTAAAATATCAATATATATATTTTTTAAATATACGTATATATATATATATATATATATATATATATTTAAAATTATATATGTATTTTTAAAATATCATATTTTAAATATAATTTTTTATGAAAAAATTTATACTCGCGTTTTTATGTATGTAATTGATATTAAAATTGTATGCATATACATATATTATTTTGCTAATTTATTTATATATAAATATATATATAATTAAAAATATTTTCATGATCAAGATATTTAAATAAATTAATTCATAAATTATAATATAATATTAATATTTAAATAATTTATTAAATTATCAATATATTTTTTTTTAATATATGTGATATTATAGATACAAAATATATTTTTTGAAAACATGATGTTTAAAAAAAAATACATACAGATATTATTTATAAAAATATATATTTAAAAAAATATATATATTTTAAAATATATATTTCAAATATATGTAAATTATTTATGAAAAAGTTTAATCGCATTTTATGTGTGTGACTGATATTAAAATTATCCGGGCACGCATATAGCAATATTAATTAACAATTAATTTCAATGAAGTCTTGCAATTTTAATATTATACACACCAATATATTACATAGTATATATAATAATTGAAATATTGTTAATTTTGCAGATATTTTTACTCCTTTTCCTGCTGCTTTACATCTCGAGTTACGCGCTGATCGCGCGCTTTAGACGCCGGGATCGCGAGGATTATCTGTCGGTGGACGAGGATGAAGCCACCGTGTACAGGATCAGCCTCTGGCTGTGCACGGTCGCCCTGGCGGTCTCCGTCGGCGCGACCCTCCTACTTCCGGTGTCTATCGCCAGCAACGAAGTACTCATTCTCTATCCGAACAGCTACTACGTCAAGTGGCTTAACAGCTCTCTCGTTCAAGGTGAGATAATCCATAAGAGAATCCCTACTGGAAAAGAAAATAAATGGAGTAATTTATATTATATTTGCATAAAATCCAGATCATAGATAACGTTTAAGATAAAAAGTGTAATCAGTCAGAGGAATATCCCATTTTAATGTTTTAATTGTATGGTTTCGAAGAGGATATAAGATGGTACCATTCGACCTTGAATAGTTGCTTGAAGGTCACTTTTAATTTCTTAATGGAACCACCTATTTTTCATTGCATATTCTTGTATCTTATCTCAAGAGTTTTTTAAAACTTAAGATGATGCCAAGTGCTTTTTAAGTTAAAAGGTTCGAAATTAACAATTTTTCGACATAAAATGTGGAATATCTAAAATAAAAAACTTATTTGGGGTGGGACATTAAAATGGGACATCCCGTATAAGAAATGCATATATGTAAGTGTCGTAATAATAAAAAGAACAAGTAACTTTTGTTGTAACAAGATGCATTTATCGTGTCGACAGGTCTATGGAACCACGTGTTTCTGTTCTCGAACCTGTCGCTTTTCGTGTTTCTGCCCTTCGCCTACCTCTTTACGGAGTCGGAGGGTTTCGAGGGCCATAAGAAGGTGAGATAGAATCTCGAAAAATTTGTAATAAGGAGCGCATGTCCTTTTTGAAATAACTTATCCTGATCCATAGGGCGTGATGGCGAGAGTATACGAGACAGTGACGGTCCTCGGTCTTCTGGGCACTCTTGTACTAGGAATGACTTACGTTCTGTCGTCTCTGTTGGATTATCAAAACTCGAGTTTACACACGTTGCTCAGTAAGTGTACACATAATCAATCTGGAATTTAAAAAAAAGATAAGGTTTAAATTAAGGGTATCTCTACGAGGATGTATTCGATTTTATTAATTATTAGTAGATTTCTATTAATAGAATACTATCTTTACAGATTTATGGAGTTATTATCTACCTTTCCTGTATTCCTGCGTCTCGTTCGTCGGCGTGGTGATGTTATTGTGTAAGTATATTACAAGTTTTCGAAAAACGTCACTGTATCCATTATACGAACAAGTTATCCACCTTTATTTATTCTGCGATTTATTTTGTAAATACAATATATTAATATTAATATTTTGTGACAATTATATATATTAATATATCAAAATATATTATTAATTATATATTAATACATTATATATATATATATATATATATATATATATATATATATATATCCATATATATATATACATACATAATATGTATGTACATATAATGAAAATATAATATATATAATGTATGTATTATAAATATATATAATAATAGATATTATAAAATAATATGTATTAAATATATTAATAATTTATAAAATATATATTAATATTTTGTGACAATTCACTTAATTACGTTCTATTTTCAGTATGCACTCCCGTGGGATTTGTACGACTGTTTGGCGTGGTGGGGTCGTTTCTCGTTAAACCCCAGTTTCTGAAGAACTTGGACGAAGAGTTTTTTGCGTACAGATTAGAAGAGGACTGTATTCGCAGAAGGTGAGAGCGCCTACTTTCATAGATTTGCGCGTTACAATGTTCAATAGCAGCGTGCGTAACAGAATGCGTCCGTTCAGATTGCAGCATGTGAAAGCGACGGGGAAGTCGTACGTATCACCGGTGCCCATGTCGTCGTCAGCAAGTTGCAGCTCGTCGATGGAGGAGGAAGACGAGCCGTTACTGAGCATGAGTCCGGGCTTGCTGTGCCTAAGGAATGGTGCTTTGCAGAAAGGTCTTTCTCAACGGCTGGACGACATCCGGAGTCGGAGACAACTGTTGGATCAACAACGGAGGACCTGGTGGGTTCGACGAACGTTGCTTTATCCAGTGGCGATGCTGGCGCTACTCGTTTTATCTACTGCTACGGCTTTACTGGCGGTGCAAAACACATTGGAATTACTGATAGGAATCAAAGCGCTGCCGTTGAGCACAAGGGTTTGTACACGCAGTTTTTTGTCCCTGTGACTCTGTCAATTTTGAGTCTGACTCAAATTTTAAGAGAATCGAGAAATTTATTTTCTGGATCTTCGTAGCGGCTATGTCAGATTGTGACGTCAGAGGCGAGAACTCGAGAGTCTCGAAGCTTCTCATTCTTTTCTATCAATTAATATATAAATAATTAATTCAGATAACGTACATATAATTAATGCATTTCCATTAATTTTTATTATACAATTTCAAAGATTAAACTAATTTCAAGTCTAATTAATTGATTTGTTTTTATTTCGAACAGCAATTTACGCTTGGTATCAGCTCCCTGTCTAAGCTCGGACCCGTCGGCGCGACAATTGAAGTGGCGGTGATCCTTTACCTGGCCGTGACCAGCGCGATCGGCCTATACGCTCTTCCGGGCGTAAGAAGAGTCCAGCCCAGACTCCGTTCCACGCCGCTCACCCACCTCATCGCGAACTGCGCCCTCCTGCTGGTGCTCAGTTCGGCCCTGCCGCTGTTATCGCGAATTCTAGGTAACGGATTCTAGCTTGCAGACGTTCCAATCTACCTTCTACAGGGTGACTTATAGGAAATTGCTGAAACTAATCAGCTGTCATTTTTTTAATGCATGCAGTTATTGAGAAAACAAAAATTGTATTGAAAAGAGGAAAGTCTACAGTTTTTAATGGATATAAATAAAATGTTTGTATACTAGTTTATTTTATTGAGAAAAAGTAATGAAAAAAGTGCTAGTAATCACATATGTAAACTAATGATAAATATTTTCACTATATATATATATATATATATATATATATATATATTTATAAAAATGACAGCTGATCAGTTTCAGCAATTTCCTACAGGACACCCTGTATCTATCTTCTAATATAGAGCTCGCTTCTTTTATTCGTTTGTCCTCTCCTCAGGAATGACCAACTTCGATCTTCTGGGTGACTTCGGGCGCATTGAGTGGCTGGGAAATTTTAAGCTCGTGCTTCTCTACAACCTGATCTTCGCCACGGCGGCGATCGGCTGCCTGGCTACCAAGTTCACCGCAACTGTGCGCAAAGAAATCTATACTCGTCTGAGGAGTAGCTTGCTAGGTATCTTCAGGAGTAGTGTTTCTACCGACGCGAAGAAAAACTCACCGTCGTCAGGGATGTTTTCTACAAAGGAAGATTAGACTGATTTATTATATTATTATAAATATAATTAATAAGCCACAGTGTGAAAGAAAGAGAGAAAGTGTGTGTGTATGTGTGCATGTGTATGTGTGAGAGAAGAAGGAAAAAGTATATCAGGATCTTGCGAAAGTTCTTGAAAATTAAGCTCATTTGAGCTTTCGAATCACGAGAGAGAGGCTTTTACTTCTCAAATTTGGTTGTACTAATCCTACGATACTCTTGAATTCTTCTTTGACTGTTAGAGACTTCTTAGATACTTGCTAGAATCTAGATTACACCGAGGTTTTCTATATTTCTCGTTATTTCAAGAAAGAAAGTGAGAGAGAGATTCTGAAACTTCTTGTTTCTTTTTAAATTCTTAAAAATTATTTTAATATCATTTATAATTAGTGTCCGATACTTGTGTGAGTGTCTGAAATTGGCTTTGTCGAGGAGCATCTGAGATTACGTTGTACTGAAATCATTCACCGATGAGCTCTACAGTTCTTCTCTTTTAATCCCAGATATCCTCACATTATAGAAAATAACGATGCACCAAAGAGAGCCAACGTAAGCTTATGCGAAAGCCTAAAGAGTTTGTCATTTAGAGCCGAGATTGAGCGAAGGTTCTTGGTTTTGCCTAGTGTGATATTTTGTAATTAAAACGCGCGAGGCCAGTTAAGGACAATGGAGGGTGATCATATCCATAAAGTAGCACTAAATATTTATTTATTAACATTAACATTACGTTTAAGAATATATGTATCTGAATCTCTCCCTCCGTAACAAGAGAGGATTCAGCGTTAAGCACTGCGTGTATATATATATGTATATATACATAATCGAATGAAATTAGTTCATGGTTCAAGGATTGCGAGAAGAGTATACACGATCTAAGATATATATGCATATATATGTTCGTATATGTGTGTGTAATTTATGTGTGTATGTGCGTATGCGTAGAATGAATTCGATGGAATTTATATACCGACAAGAATCTGTCCTGTACAGGAAGAATCTTTACTGATGAACGTTTATTTTTGCCTTTAAACGTCCTCATTTTACAATCACCGGTAGAGCGTCGTAGATAGAAAGAGAATAAATTTTCTATTTAAATAATAAATAATTATATATTTTAATGACTACTCTTTAAAAATAAAAAAGAACCTAAGAAATTATTATTATTAGGTAAATTGAAATATAGAAACTTAGAATTATTTCCAGATATTTTACCTGAGAGAGAAGCACAAAGTAGTTTCTCAGACTGAAAATAATAAATTGCGATAAAAGAAATTTAAGAAACAACTTTTCGTCGATATTTATTTATCAGGGTTAAGAAAGTTATTTTATAAAAGTAACAGTTAACAGTTATCGACTCTGAAAAATAACATATTACAATAACTTAAAAAGTAACGAATCGTTACTTTTTTTTGCAATAACTATTATATTTTAAATATAATAATCTTAGGGGTATTTCAAGCTTTACTAAACTATATATTACATACTTGATTATGCGCTATATTATTCTATAAGCAATAAATTACAACTGTTTTAAATTTAAAAAATATAAAAATATATTTAATATATATCAAATATATTGCTGAATATATTAAATATATTAAATTAATAATTTGTAATAAATTAACTTCTTGTAATACAATAATTAATATTATTTACTTAGAATAAAAATTATGGGATTTAGATTTTTCAGTTAAAAAATTTCATAAAATATTAGAGAGTCGCATAACTTTCCGAAAAATTGTTAATCCTAATTTTTAAACAAACTAACTATTAAATTAGTTTATAGATGCAGAAAAAGTAACGAAATTAAGTTATAGTTGCCAAGTTACAAATACCGAGTTATTTCTCAACCCTGTTATTTACACATTCTATTATAAATATTATTTATATATTACATTATATTATAGATATTTATGATTGAAACTGAATCACAGATGGATTTACATCTAAAAAATCTTAATGTGCGCTAGATAAAATGACTTTATTTTTCTATTATAAACATTGTTGCGACTAAACATGTCTATCATCACAGATTCATAGAAAATCACGCGTCGTTCCCCATCGTATTCTTCAGTCCGAACTTCCTCAATGTGCCGATGATGATATGAGCCGCTATCCCATGTCGCACAATGGTATAATAACCTGGCCTGGAGAGATCCACGACGGTGGAGCCGACTCGACGGCGATCCTGCTGCTTCCTGGAGTCCGGTTGGCTGTGGAAGACGCCGTCGAGGTCAGCCCAGAGCTCGCAGAACTCGTCCGGGTGCAGGCTGCTCGGCTCACTGCTTATATTCGCGCTGGTGAGCGCGAGCGGACCCACGATCTGCGCGACGCTGCGTACGAACTTGTTGTCTGGGACGCGGATCCCGACGGTCTCGAGGCCGGGATTGAAGGTCCCCGGCAGGGCGGACGTGCGCCGCAGGCATATCGTGTAGGGCCCGGGCAGCAGCTGCTCCAGCATGCGAGGCGGCACGTCGTCCAGAACGCCCCAACTGCCTATTTCTTTGACGCTGCTCAGGCAGATGGCCAGGGGCTTCGCCCCATCCCGCCGTTTGATCTCGTACAAGCGCTGCACGGCCTGGGATCGGCCATTAGGCCGGCCAGACCGTATATAGTGTCCGTAGGCACTGCTATGACCTTCCCCTGCTGCAGCAGCTGCGCTGCCCTCGCGACGCTGCGGTCGCCACCGCAGAACCAGTGCTTCTCCTGGTGTCCTAGCAGCTTCAACTCATTCTTCGCGTGGTTCATGTTTACTTTCGTGGGGCCCATCGAGCTGGGACTCATGATACACCGGATGCCTCCCTCCTGGGATGTTTGCTTCTGCAGAGAAATTTAATTAGTTATTTATTAAAGAATTATTGAAAAATTGTAGGAAGAGCTTGGGTGACATGAAGGAAGTGGAGTTATTTGGGAATTTGGGAAAAGGAGAGAACATTTATATTTTTTTCTCTTTGGTTAAAGAGCTAAATATTGATTGTTATTAGTGATGGGATTAAGTGACCTGCGAATAGATTTGTTTGATTTTTACTACTTCAAGCAAAGATTTTTATTACTTCAAAAAAATTCGAATAACTGCTTTAAATTCGATTTGGCACCTATATAAAATATTATTTCTTATGAATCTTAGAAAGAGTAAAATTTGATTATTGACTTTGTCTGAAATCTTCAAGCACATATTAAACTCAATCCAATCCCTAATTCTTACTACGCTCTTCAGATTAGAATGTTAAAAAAGATTACGGATCTGAAATCAATTCATAATAAATTAAAGGAATAAATCAATATATCTTTAATCTAAAGATAAGATCCGAGATCTTTTTTAACCTTTGTTTTAATTACTATTCCTTCAAAAATTGTGGAAAGGGAAAACATCCACACCAAAAAGCTGATCTTACCAAGATTTAATTTTATATGATTAGTACGAGGTTTTGAATCTATATAAAATCCTAAATAAAATTGAGTGTTGGTAAAATCAATTGATTCTCTCACACATAACTTATGACTTGTCGAACAAACCAAGTAATAGTTATATCGAGGCTAAATAATAGATGGTTACTGATTTACAGTCAGTCGAACATGAAAAATCTAACTAAAAAGCTGATCTTACTAAGATTTAATTTTATATAATTAGTAGGTTTTGAGTCTATATAAAATCTTAAAATTGAATCTTGATAAAATCAACTGATTTTCTCATATGTTGAAACTCATGACTTGTCGAACAAAACACGTAATAGTCATGTCGAGACTAAATAATAGATGGTTACTGATTTACAGTCAGTCGAACATGAAAAATCAGAACTTTGCAATTTATTTAACTAGTTGTAACTCAGTAACTATCCAATATTTAGCTTCAAAGTTATTACATCTTTTGTTCAGCAAATTGGAAGCTACAATATATAAAAAATATATAAAATATATAAAAAAGTATATATAAAAGAAAATATATATATATAAATATAAATTAATATTTATATAAAAAAACCGCCAATTCTCTATCAAAAGCCACAATCCTATGTATATGGTGCGGAATCCTTTCTCTTGTACAACTGTCAAATCATCATAATTCTCCGTACCCACAAATTTACGTGTTGACTCGCCAAGTGTGTCCGCACGAGTGATCGCAGCATCTGTAGAAGAGAGTCATGCCCTCGTCGGCAGATCTAGTTTGCAATTGCCAGAAATACGCACGAGGATGCGAACACTTGGGGCAACGCTCGTCCGTGGAATCGACGCCGGCCCACGAGGTCTCCTTGTTGACGACGATCGTCTCCGCCACCTTCTCGTTAAAGTACGTGCGCGTGGTCACCGCCTTCCTGATCCTGTAGATATAGGGACACGTGCGACACGCGAATCGATTTCCGGTCGCGTTTTCCTGAAACCGGAGTAGATTCGCGCAGTAGGGGCAGAAGAGATACACCATATTATTCTGAGCTCTTCTTTTGGAACGGACGTTTCTGGAAACATCAAGTTTTTATTACTTTGCTTGGAATGTCTAATGTCCTATAAATAATTGTTTTTTTTTATTTTATCGAATTTTGACGTGCGAAGATTTTTATAATAATAATAATAATATAAGTATCCATAATAATTTTAATTATTTATTTTAGATGATAGTAAAAAATGTGAAAAATACTTACGAGCTCCAAATTATGAGAAGCCGCGTCGTGTCGAACACGTGTCGTATTTGCCAAAATAATCAGAATTATATGATCGGCTGCTCCAGTCTGCGCATGCGCACAAAATAGTGATTTCTATGTAGTCACAATCGGTGGAGAAAAACACTAGAGGTAATAAAATCGAAGGGGATTTTTTTAAATTAAGTTACAGTCAATTGCTTATAAAATTAATTTAGTTAAGTTAAAAGTTTGCACGAACAAAAAATTAACTCGCGCGGTTAAAATTAAGTTATTAAGTTATTACATTAAATATACAGTAGTGTAAATCAAAAATTAATTTTTAAAAACATTATTTATATATATAATATTAAATTAGAATTTTGTTTTTGTTAATTTTTTTAAAATTTATAATAACAAATAACAAAGAAATTTTGATTTTTATATAAAAATATATTTTTTGATAATTACAATAATTGATGACAAATGAACATAAAAATTATAATAATACTTATTTAATTCAAAAATATAATATACCTTTATAATTTATTATAAAATATAACAATAAAAAATTGTGGAGAAAAGAATTAATTTGAACTGAAATATATATATATATATATATATATATATATATATATATATTATTATTAAAAATGTAGATTTTCCTTTTTCCGACACAATTTTTGTTTTTTCCAATACTTGCATGCATTAAAAAATGACAGCTGATTAGTTTCAGTAATTTTCTACGGAATGCCTTGTATATGTTACAAAACAATATTTTTTTTAATAAAAAAATCAAAATACACACTTTTTAACTTTTTTTAAATATTTTTTAATATTAAATTAATAAGTTATTGCTATATAATAAATTAGTATTAACTGACTACCGGCTTTTTTGACAATCGCAGTTCCGCACTGCGCTCTCTATAATAAATGAGCTAGTGAAATTAACGCGCGTGTAATTATTAATCGACCACCTTGTAAAAATTCAGCACGTGCGACGTACATTAATTTTTACGTGTGTAAACGTTGCTTTCAAAGAATGAAATTAACGTCAGAGGTATCGCGCCGTTATCAAGTAGCTTATCCGGAATATTTTGTTAAATGAATTTTTTGACAAGATATTTCCAAAACTAAAGCCTTAATCAAAAATCTGACTTTTTCCTACAGAAACTCTTGATTTATTTATTTGTCCCCTTCTTTCCTCTTCTTCTTGCTTCTTCTTCCCTTTTTTCTCCCTTTATTTTAGATTTTACCTTTTTAACAGGATTGCTTGTATGTACGCGACAGTTATACTCTGTATATTTTTCCGTAATTTGTTTAATTTACATGAACCGTTGTCATTATTTTAATTTATATCAAAAGAGTTGACCTACATATCAATAACATAACAAAGACTAAGAATGGTTTAAATATAACAATAAATCTGAAGGAAAATTCGACACCTATATAAATTTATATAATTGTTCTTTATATTTTTATATATAATTGTTCTTTTGGAAATTCGAAAGAGATATTTTAATATAAACATATATGCACAGTACATCAATAATAAAATATTTCAATCACGGACCGAGCTAACAATAAGTATTTTAAAAGATTAACTCCTAAAGAAATCGGACTGCCTCACTTTTCGCTTACTAATCACACATTTGAGTTGACAACTTTTTCTTTCTTTGGAACATATGGTTCTAATAATTAATTATATTTGTAACATTGCGAAACATTTTAGACAATATAGACTACAGATTATAACACACGAATTTCCATAAAACATAGCCATAATATATATTATATACATATAAGCTAAAAAACCAATCAGATAGTCGTTTCACAATTAGATTTAATATGCTAAGGAAACGGAGCCACACCATTCCAACACATCTACAGATTCCGTGTACGTAAAAATTTCAACCGATTGAAATTCTTCTTATGCTTAGGTTTTTAGTAATTTTCCGTTTCCTACGCTTATTAAATCCAGAACTATTTGATTGGTTCTTATGTTATGTTTTATGTTTTAAGTTATGTTTCGTTCGCGATCGCAAATTTCTTGCCCGGAATAAAGTCAAGATAATTTATAAGGAGCTTGTTGATTGATTTGTGAATTTTATCGCACGTACTTGGCGCCTTTTTTTACTTTTTAATAAAATACATTTTTTAGATATATATATTTCATATTTTATTTATGTCGTCTTATGCAAATAAATAAATCTAACTGATGTTTGCACAACGATATACATAAAATTACACTAGATTTGTTTAATTACTTAAATACATAAAGCACAATATATGTAATAAGAACCAAAAAATGTTATATATTTTAAATATAGTAGTCGACTTATTATCACAATGTGTCCAAACTGTTATCGAATCACTATGTTTTTCATGGCCTGGAATTCTTGAAGTACACCGAATTTCATATCCTGTACAAGGTTTTAAATTTTCGAAGTGTCCTATTAACTGTGTTGTATTTTGAAATATTTCTTTTTTTGATTGTCCAATGGAATGAGTTTCTGGTCCCTATAAAAAATGTATTCTTTAAAGCTATATATAATGAAAAATATATCCTCTAAAATTACATATAACCACGTATATTTATATATCTTTTTTTGTCTTTTTAAATGTTTGTAAATATTTATATTTTATATATTTGCATGATAAATTGTAAATTGTATTGAATTAAATTACTATTCTGATAGAAAGTTAATCAAAAATAAAAGCAATGTTATATACCTTAATTTCGAAAGAATAAGAAATTGCTGTCTCTTCATAATAACTGGTGTAATTCAATGTTGTAGGAAGAACTACAATAACTATACTTGTCGTGTTCACAAATAATCTCAGGTACGTTTGGTTTTTCTAGGCCTGGAAAATTAATAAATTATGCATTCGTATCTAATAATAATAGATATATAGTATATTTTGATACACTAAACTATATAAACTACTGTGCTAATATATGCATTTCGCGTAAAAGATTATAATATAGCATCAAAATTAATACATTCTGTCCAAACTTTTATTGAATCACTATGCTTTTCATGGCCTAAAATTCTTGAAGTACAATAAATTTCATAGTCTGTACAAGGTTCTAAATTTTCGAAGTGTCCTATTAACTGTGTTGTATTTTGAAATATTTCTTTTTTTGATTGTGAATGACTATAAAAATGTATTCTTTAAATATATGTAATGAAAAATATATCCTTTAAAATTATATATATTCACGTATATTATATATCTCCTTTTTTGTCTTTTAAATGTTTGAAATATTTATATTTTATAATTTTGCTTATTAAATCCAGAACTATTTGATTGGTTCTTATGTTATGTTTTATGTTTTAAGTTATGTTTCGTTATCGCAAATTTCTTGGAATAAAGTCAAGATAATTTCTTGTTGATTGATTTGTGAATTTTATCGCACGTATACTTTTTAATAAAATACATTTTTAGATATATATATTTCATATTTTATTTATATGCAAATAAATAAATCTAACTGATGTTTGCACAACGATATACATAAATTACACTAGATTTGTTTAATTACTTAAATACATAAAACTATATGTAATTGTTATATATTTTAAATATAGTAGTCGACTTATTATCACAATGTGTCCAAACTGTTATCGAATCACTATGTTTTTCATGGCCTGGAATTCTTGAAGTACACCGAATTTCATATCCTGTACAAGGTTTTAAATTTTCGAAGTGTCCTATTAACTGTGTTGTATTTTGAAATATTTCTTTTTTTGATTGTCCAATGGAATGAGTTTCTGGTCCCTATAAAAAATGTATTCTTTAAAGCTATATATAATGAAAAATATATCCTCTAAAATTACATATAACCACGTATATTTATATATCTTTTTTTTGTCTTTTTAAATGTTTGTAAATATTTATATTTTATATATTTGCATGATAAATTGTAAATTGTATTGAATTAAATTACTATTCTGATAGAAAGTTAATAAAAATAAAAGCAATGTTATATACCTTAATTTCGAAAGAATAAGAAATTGCTGTCTCTTCATAATAACTGGTGTAATTCAATGTTGTAGGAAGAACTACAATAACTATACTTGTCGTGTTCACAAAAATAATCTCAGGTACGTTTGGTTTTTCTAGGCCTGGAAAATTAATAAATTATGCATTCGTATCTAATAATAATAGATATATAGTATATTTTTGATACACTAAACTATATAAACTACTGTGCTAATATATGCATTTCGCGTAAAAGATTATAATATAGCATCAAAATTAATACATTCTGTCCAAACTTTTATTGAATCACTATGCTTTTCATGGCCTAAAATTCTTGAAGTACAATAAATTTCATAGTCTGTACAAGGTTCTAAATTTTCGAAGTGTCCTATTAACTGTGTTGTATTTTGAAATATTTCTTTTTTTGATTGTCCAACGGAATGAGTTTCTGGTCCCTATAAAAAATGTATTCTTTAAAGCTATATGTAATGAAAAATATATCCTTTAAAATTATATATATTCACGTATATTTATATATCTCCTTTTTTGTCTTTTTAAATGTTTGTAAATATTTATATTTTATATATTTGCATGATAAATTGTAAATTTTATTGAATTAATTTACTATTCTGATAGAAAGTTAATTAAAAATAATAGCAATGTTATTTACCCTAATTTCAAAAGAATAAGAAATTGCTGTCTTCTCATAATAACTGGTGTAATTCAATGTTGTAGGAAGAACTACAATAACTATACTTGTCGTGTTCACAAAAATAATCTCAGGTACGTTTGGTTTTTCTAGGCCTGGAAAATTAATAAATTATGCATTCGTATCTAATAATAATAGATATATAGTATATTTTTGATACACTAAACTATATAAACTACTGTGCTAATATATGCATTTCGCGTAAAAGATTATAATATAGCATCAAAATTAATACATTCTGTCCAAACTTTTATTGAATCACTATGCTTTTCATGGCCTAAAATTCTTGAAGTACAATAAATTTCATAGTCTGTACAAGGTTCTAAATTTTCGAAGTGTCCTATTAACTGTGTTGTATTTTGAAATATTTCTTTTTTTGATTGTCCAATGGAATGAGTTTCTGGTCCCTATAAAAAA